TTAACATGTCACAAAACTCCAAAGCTTGTTCTGCAACAAAACTAAATAAGCCTTCTGAATTTAAGTTAAGCAGAAGGAAAAATATATCATGTTTGCACTATAAATGAAGGTGCTGAAGAACTAAACTTTTTCCTTGAACAAGTTCGGCAAAATCCTTTGATTTACTTATTTTTTTTCTCTCCTTTTTGCTCTGTATAAAAGAAGAGCAAGACCCTCTCATGCTTGTTTATAGCCTTGCCAACAGAGTTGGAAAGGAGTGCCTGGCCTTTGCCAATGAAGAGTTCACCTGGGTGTGAGAATGAGTACCTCCTCTATGTAGAGAGCACTGCTCTTGGGGAGGGCAAGAGTTTTGGGGCAAGACGGTTCAAACAAGACACAGTATTTATGTACTATGAAAGGCGTGGGGGAGACATGGGAGGCAGCTGCAATGGTTATACATTACAGCAAGGGTTTTTCTTTAACTTGCTTACCTGTGTGGGGTGCTGTGTCCTTGCATCTCCAGTTGTGGGAGCAGAAGGTAACTTGGCATTTGGGCCTGAAGCTCCAAGGTGAGATACTGTACCAGATAAGGTTCCGGGAAGAGAGGTGGAGGCTTCTGCCAAAGTCGAAAGCTGTCAAATCTTCAGTATGGGATTGCATCCTAATTAAATTGCAATTCATTATTTATGTTTGCTTACCATTTTTGAGCTTTTCTTTTGATATACTTCCACGCTTGTCTTTATCAGCGCTGAATTTCTCCTGCTGTTTTATTGTCTCTCTCACAGCCCTTTAAAGTTAGCTTCTTTGAGAAATCTTGCATCCTTTTGCCTGACTTGTGTGTGCTTTTGCCTCATTTGACAGCTCCCTTTCTGATTAATTTATGCTTATGTCAAACAGAGGCCCCATTATTTGCTTCAGATTCTTTCTTTCTGTCGGTTGCTTCATCAGATCTTTAAAATATTTGAGTCTCGTACCACTTCTTGGTTTTCATAGGAGCCTCTTATTTTGGGAGCTCTGGGTTTGCATGTACAGATTGTGCAGAGGTCTGTGCATATTAAGTTCATTGCAAGCAAGCTTTTTTGCATACACTGCCTTAAGTCAAACATGTGGATGGCAGGTGGAACCAGCAGGTGCCCCATGAAGGGGACGGTGGTAATCCTGTTTGTCACCGTGCAGGCACTTTGAAGGTCTGCAGAGGACTGCAGTTTGACACTACACAGGCTGTAAGAACAAAAGCAGGGCTTTCTCAGCAACATCATTGCTCTTATGCAGCTGCCCTACATGTCTTTGTCCAAATGCAGAGCTTTTTCTCAGGTTTGGGTGTTAGAAATAATTAGGTGTTTTGTTTTGTTTTTTAAGAAATAATGAGGAAATCTTAGAACCTTATTTCTAAACAGATTATAATCTATTCATTTCCTTACTATTTAAGGGGGGGAGTGGGAAGATAAGGTGCTCAACTTGCAGCTTAACACAAAAGGTGATTTTTGCCAGGCTTTTAGGCTAACTCTTCCAGCCGGCTGCATTTGCCTTGAGCATTAGCCTAACTTCTTCATAAACACCCCTCCCTGGCCTCTGCACAGAGGAAGGTGTCGGGTTTTCAAGGTGATTAGTAGGGAACACTTTACCCATGCAGCAGCTGTTCCTCCATATGGATGTGTGGAACACAGTCAAAGATAAGTGAAGGGCAGGGCAGGTGTCCATAGAAAGCAAAAAACCGGCTTTCATCAATCCTGATAAAATTAACATCTGGGAAACTTTTACAAAAGGCTGCCTTTTCGTTGCCACTGTTTCACATAGGGCTACTTCATGTATTACAAACAGAAAAGAGATTAATCTACATGTCAGGTGATGCGTGAGCAAACTGCCAACCTGTGGACCTAATCGCTGTGTTGAATTATGCTTAACACCAAAGCACCTTTGTCCACAAAATGGCACAGCCAGCTCTGACCCTGAATGGTATGGGGATGGTGTGGTGCATTTTTTTTCCCTTTCAAAGAAGCCTCCCTTCCCCACATTAAATGCTGGAATTCTGGGATGAATTGGGAATTGGGAATGCATGCCTGATTCTCTGACTCCAGTCCTCTACATTCCAAGATACTTTAATATTTTGAAGGGTCTTCCCTCCTATTATGCATTATTTTTTTACATTTATATCCCAACAGTCCAAGGAGTTGAAGGTGCTGTACATAGTTCTCCTCCCTCATTTTATCCTCACAACAACCCTGTGAGGCAGGTTAGGCAGCGACTGGCCCCAAGGTCAGCACCCAGTGAGCTTCATACCGGGGGGGGGCGTATTTGAACCCCGATCTCCCCGGTCTTAGTGCAATGCTCTCTTGACTACACTACATTGGCTCATAAATATTACTGTATCCAAATAATGAAATCCCAAGCCAGAATGAGATTTTCTGACTCGCTGTAGCTTTTAGAAGAATGCAGCTACAAATGAAATGAGTAGCATTAGATCACAAGGAAGGTAGTTGGGGACCAGAATTTGACCTTAGGCAGAGTGAGACAGCCGCCTCAGGTAGCACATGCTGTGTGGGTGGTGGTGTGGCAGCGAGAAGCTGGATGATAGAGGTAGGTGTGCACCACGTGGTCTACCCTGCATGCCCCACGGGATGTGGTGGAGTGCGCCATCTTTGCTAGTGTTAGTGGTTTGTTTGTTTTTTTAGTGGATCTTTGCTAGTGTTGAAGTAAGATTCAACAGCCGGTCCAGCTGGCTTCTCTACATAGAATGGACAGCACTAGAGTGCCTTTTACCCCAGGCAGCAAAATGTCTTGAGCCAGCCCTTTCAGGGACAATAGAACACATTATAAAGAGTTTTTATAAGAAAAACATATAAAAAGCATGTTAACCTAGCCACTCGGGGACTTAGCTGGAGATTGCATTTGCTATTAAGCAAATGTATGATATTAATTACATTTGTTCCTAAGAAAGTTACCAATGCATTTGCAAGCCAGCCTTTGTTCTTGTCGGGGAGCAAAACAAGCTTCTCTCTTACGGCATCTAGATTCTGAAGCAAGATAGATCCTAAACAAGGTAGTTTGCTGTATTTTTGTCCCAAGCAAAAGTCAAAGATTGTTTTTATGGGAAGGATTTTTGATTTATTTGATTTGTTTGCGTGTTGGCTGCTCTTCGGCCAAGGCTCTCAGAGCAGCTCATAAGAATTAAATAAATAATATACAATGGCAGTGTGATAGCTCAGCCAGTAGAGCATGCGACTTAATCTCAGAGTTGTGGGTTCAAGGCCACATTGGGCAAAAGATTCCTGCATCAAAGGGGGTTGGACAAGGTGACCCTCAGGGTCCCTTCCAGCTCTACAAGTGTACGATTCTGTGAATATCAAACTGTACAATATGTTGCCAATAAAGAAGGCAACATTCCAGCATGATGAAACACAAACAAGACGAAAGACCAGGGCAAATAAAAAGGTCCTCACCTGGCACCAAACAGAAAACGAAGGCTGAGGCTGTGTACTACGTACCACACATTTTAATGCATCTTACTACCTCCGAAGGAATAACTTTTTCTTTTTATAAATGAAAATTAGGTATATTTAGAGTTTGAAGCTGGACACGAAAAGGAGAGTCACTGTTAAGAGAGGAAGAAGAGCAGTTGCCCAGTAGGATTGATTAATCTTTATTAAGTTAGTTAATATTAGTGGCTAACAGCAGAACTGAATACATATGAAACGTAGAGAATGAACACAGAGTCCATTAAACAGATTAAACATATGACCTTTGCATTTTCTACTAAAATGAGAATGGCTACATCATAGCGAGTAGGAAATGCCAAAATAAATATATACCGGTAGATCAGCCTCAGAATAAATATGTAGAACAGCCTCGTATGCCTTCATGGCAAAGAAACAGAGCGCATTACTTGGTCAGGTGACTCATGGGAGAATTGGTGGACTTGGCTCATTTCCAGAACCGTTCTCTCTGGCCCTGGTCAAATACTCCAGTACTCCATCTGTTTAGAGAACTAAAGAAATAATGTTTTGCCTTTTAGGCAACACTTTATATCCGGGTTTCTCCAGGAACCTGTTTAATGAACAACCAGTTTTGTTACACTAATCCCTAATAATGCTAGGATAAACATAGTTTTGTTTGCTAAATATTTAGAATCTAGAGGAGCCCTGAGAACTTAGAGCAGTTGTGAATAAATATGGTTCGTAAAATCAACAACAACCACAACTACAACAGCAACCACAACAATCCCTGCCCCTGGATTCTATCACCTTGCTCTGCATAACTCAGAAATGATGCAGGGAGCAAAGGATGCCTTCCCTGCGCCAGGCTTTGTGTGTGATCTCATGTTTTGCAAAGCCAAATCAATAGGTATAGGAAGAGCACTCCCTATTTTCTCTCGCTTGAAAATGCCACCCATCTAGCATTTCCCTTATAAAGAAAACATGGGGTTGTGAATCCTGTGTTTTTTTTCTAACATGTAGACCTGTGGCAGGAGTTGGGGAAATGGGATTTTGCTGCACGTAGTAAGGTAACTGGAGCTCTCATGTACCCTGGCTCTACTATGGATTTGGATAACATTTGCTCATACTCTGCACAACTACAGTACCAGCACAGTTTCTTTCTAGTGGCATAAACACCTTCTCTGGAAATGGGCTTGTAAATGGAATCTCATCTGCTTTAAGGTCTGGCTTGTTATCAACAGAACAGTTATTCAAAACTGCCTTGATTCTGGAATTTGTAGGCATATGCATAGGATTATAAAAGTCCAGTTTATTCTCTCAGTTAGTATAAATTAGAAGTAGCTGCTCTAGAGAATAGAATTTCATGTTTCTATAGGATAGACCAGCCCATGGCACCTTTAGTGTGTTACCTTAATGTTGGGGCCACCAAATCTAGTTTACATGTTCCTATTGTGCAAAATTCTGCGGCTCTGAGCATAATAACCTGATGTCCTGTGGAGAGCCAATCTTCTATAATAAGTGGGAAAGCATCTATCATTGGTGCTAAATGCGCACGGTGTTATTTCACCCCTGCACTTTCTCTTTCAGTCTGAATACCATTATGAATACACAGCATGTAACAGCCAAGGCTCCAGATGGAGAGTAGCTGTGCCGCACAACCCAGGACTCTGCACCGGCTTGCCAGACCCCATCAAAGGCACAAAATGCTGTAAGCTATGACTGCTGTCACCACACCTTCCCTTTACATGGTTTATTCCAGCCAACCGGAGGCTCCAGAGCCACGTTGAGCCGTGGGGCACGAGATGTCACATCGTGCAGTGTGTTAAAATGAGGTCTACCCCTGTTAATAGTTGAACATTCAGAAGAGAGAGATACCAATTTCATGCTTAGAATATCCTTGAATGCAGGCGGTGACCATTTTTCGTGCATTTGATTGTCGTGCAACCGCCAGTGCCTGTGTTGCTTTTGGCCCCAGAAGGGGATGGAATGGGCTTACTTGCGACTGCTGACATGTGCAATGACCCGGAATGCAACCCCCACACAGGTGGAGAGTCGCCTGTATTTTGTTTACCGGTATGTTAACTTCCCACACACAATCAGAAAGTTAGCATTGGCATATTTGACTTGAAATTGACAAGTTGCTGAAATTTTGTAATGATGCACTTAGATACAAATTTGGACCCCCCCCCCCAATGTTAATGGCTGGGGGAGTGGGAGGATGGTGCAGTATTGCCTCTCCATTGCTGATGGTGCTCTGCTATGCCAGAGGTCCTGAGCTTCTCTCTGACAGGTGGGAAGCTTCTGCTGGTGGGTTTTCCCATTGGCAGTAAACAACAGAAAGCCTTGAAATGGGACGTTGCAGGGCACCAGAGGCTTTGAGTCTGTTGGATCCAAAGCCCCACGGATTCCCACAGGGGCCAGATCCTATAACTAGTTAATAAGCAAACCAGGATTAGGAACCATAGTTACATCTTGGTTTGTTCTCATTCAATGAATTTTAAGCAAACCACAATTCTTGGAGTCTGGATCTTGTAGGGAACTGTGGTTTGAAATTGTATAAGAAGCTACACCAATGGTGAACTTAGATGCGTATGGGAAACAGAAGCAGGACATGAGCACAGTAGGACTCTCCCAACTTGTGATTCTTATTAAGTGGCAACCCACAGATCCCCAGAGTTCAGTCTGGCCAGGGCAAATGCATTGGGGCAGCATGTTATATAAATGCTAGAAATCACTCAAGGAAGCCTCTGTTTGGTTTTCATTTGTCCTTTTCCCCTGATCAGTTTTTCTCTTCCGCATTTCAGCATTTTCCTGCAAAGCTGGCGAATTCTTGGACATGAAGAACCAGTCATGCATGCCGTGTGCAGAGGGCACATATTCTCTGGGCACTGGCATCAGGTTCGACGAGTGGGATGAGCTGCCCCATGGTTTTGACAACAAAGCAACCAACCTTGAAATTGATTACAGCTTCTCAGAGTCCTTGGGAAACTGCAGCCTGTGAGTGAGCTTGTTGCTCTCATTTCTGCTAGAGCACATCATTATCACATAGACTGCTGATTCTAAAAGCTAAAGACGATGTTTAAGTGGGGGTGCTTGTGAATTTCTCCACAGATCCTGAGGGTCTGAATTACCCAGTCTTGTTTTTGGAGTAGTATCTTGCTAGTCTCCTGCCTTTGATTTCCAGACTGCTGCACGTGCTCAGTTGATGCTTCCCCTCCCTCCTCACAGCTAGGTGATTCACATCAGCATGTATGCATATGGATTAAATCTCTGTGCAAAAAAAGGAATCCTGATGTGGTTGCATCAAGGTTCAATTTTAAACTATGATTTAATCAATATGTATATGTGCTGGTGTGCATTAGTCACTTTAGGGGGCGGGGGGAGGAAGAGCCATGAACTGCAAATTGAGCAATGTGCCAAGTAAAAAACTAACTTTAGAATTCTCCAAGCCAAACCAAAAGGCAGGCAAAGCAGGATATGGAACAGAGCAACCCCAGAGAGTAGCGATGGGATGGGATGGAAAGGGGAAATACTCTCTTCCCTAAGTTTGATCAGTTGCTGCACTGTGTCTATAGTAGGGCTGGCCCAAGATGTTTTGGCATTGGAGGTGAACCACAAAATGGTACACCCCCATGCCAGGGAACAAGGGGGTGAGTGATGATCTACAGCAGGGGAAAGTGTGGATGTCGGGGGGGGGGAGGGCTCTTGCATGAGGAAAGAGGCCCACTCTGAATCACATTGGGCTGGTACAGAGCCAGGAGACCCCAAAGGGTAGTCCCTGCCATTTTCTTAATAAGGGTGGGAGGGCACCAACAGCACCTCCTATTTGCTGAGAGCATGCAGTGGAGGCAGCATGGTGGTGCTGCGGAGGAGGAGGAGGAGGAGGATGCAGAGGATGCAGATCCAGCATCCAAGTAGCCTGTCATAGCTGTTGCTGCCCCCATGGCAGCAGCAATGGACAATGCATTTTTTTGAGGCCAGATTTGCTGCATTTGTGGATCTTGCTGCCTGAAGCGGCTTCCTCACCTTACCTCATAGGTGGGCCAGCCCTGGTATATAGATGAAATGGTAAGTTCATGTGCACCAGCACCGTAGCATTTCTGACATTTGGCACTCTGTGTGTGAGTGTGTAAATTCTCCCAATGTGACCAGAATTCTTCACCAGGGTTAAGTAAATTAAATACATTTTGCATATATTTACTTACTGTGCATAATTCAGTTTGCTTCCCCTAATCATAAGAGACAAAGAGGATATATAATGCACTGAATCCCCATTTCCTGCCAGCTGAAATTCTGTCTCCCCTTTGCACCTGAGATTTCACTTATTTTGCAGCCATATAGACTAGACTCTCATTTTGATTTGGTTTTTAAAAGGAAAGCCCAGGTTCCAGACTGGTATGGTCACACAGTGGTAAGATACAGACAGTTGATTAAGTTTTAATTGCAATAGCAGATTCTGTCATTGCTCCCACTGGGTTATTTTGACCTGCTAATTTTTACCTAGGGAACAGATATTGTGACTTTCTCATTTTTAAGTCCAGGGATTTGTTTGCTTACAAAACAGACAGCCATTTAATTTCTAAATAAAAAAGTACATTACTAGATTCTGACAAATTTATTGCTTTATGAATTATAGCCCCAGGAATAGTGCACAGCAGTATTGGGTTTTTTAAAACATTTAAAATTAAACAGACTTCACTGCAGAAATGTACCAGCATATTATTTTTCAGTAATTTCCTAAAGTATTGTAATGTGGTTAGTTTGTAAAATCAGTTCAAACCAGTATTTAATAGCTTTATTTTCTATTCTAATTTCTCCCCCTTGGAAGTGACAAAACTATAGGGGGTGGGAAATCAATATTTTGCAAAATGGGTACAAAGTGCTAAAGGAAAAGGAATAATTTTAACATTAGATGCCTTTATGTAAAGGCAAATGTGTGCCAGGGGAGCGGTGTATTATTTCTTTCATTTAAAGGCCATCTTTGAAATTTCAGTTTTTGCTTCTTAGCAGTAAAGGAAGATGGAAAAATAACTTCTACTGCAGGTTTTTAATATGACTCTCCATTCAATTTTAATGAGCACATTATTTTTCGTCTGTCACTTCTAGTTTGCATCTTTTTAATTATGAAGAATACTATTAGTCAAATAGTATATAGAGGAAGATTTGTTGTCAGTTATTTTAATTTCTCTTGACATGCCTTGTTTTACGTTCTGCTCTGAGATCTCTGCTCAAGCAGTCCAGACCACTATATAACTCCCTGTCTGGGAAAGGTTTGGATGAGACATAAGTAGGCCTCCCCCAGTGAAAAACTGCCTATATTGCTTGGGGGGGGGACTCCACACCAGCAGAAATACATCTGCCCACCCACAGATTGCTGGGCAGGTGAAAATGCACCCACCAGCAGCTAACCTTGTGGAGAACCCCAAAACGGGGGGCAGGATTACCCTCAGCAATGGAGACAGGAGGTATGGTGGAAAGGGAGGGGGAAACACCAACCTGGGGTGAAGGCAGGGACCCAAGCTCAATAGTGCTAGGAGAGAAACCAAATCCAGAGGGTAATGGGAAGGAGGAAAACCCAACACAGCAAACTGCAGGAAGCAAAACTCAATGTTAGTGGGGGGGGGAATGAGTGGGTTCACATCCAGGGGAGTAAGTTTTCTGGTGGGTGCCAGAGGGGCACCAAGCATTAGGAAACAGCAACCGATGGGGCAGGCAGAGGAGCTAATGAAGGGATGAAAGATGTGGAACTGTGGTGGGAGCAAGTAGCTGGAGGAGGGGAGGAAGAGTTGCTGGGAGGGGCCCAGCCACAGGAAGAAAGGAAGAAGTGGTGGAAGGCCACAGTGATTGATAGCTGGGGGTGCATTCAGAAGGCTGCAGAAATCAGCAGGATTTGCTAATATTATGGGCTGAATAATTGCTTGCCTGTGCAGCCTCCATCATCCTCCGTGCCCTGGCAGGGGTTTCTGCCCAGCAACATATTCCACCATGGGCAGCTTCTGATGGGCTTGCACTGCTTTGGTGACTGATTTATGGGATCAAGTCATGGAAGCACCGGTGTCTCATTGTCAGCTTTCTGAACACCCATTTCATCACCACATGGGTAGTACAGTGTGCCCTATAATAGTGCCTATCTGGAGTTACAGAGAAAGTGGCACATAAGTGCATTTGAGAGGATTGGCTCCCTCTGCCTCCACCATTGCATGACAGGTTCCACCTGCAAGCAATGGAATGACACCTTTGGTGCCATCAGGAAATGAGCCTGGGAACTAATCTGCTCCGGCATGATATTAATGGAGGCTTTGAACAAAGCCTTGGAGGCAGGTAAGAAGATCCTTGCCCATACCCCATCAAAGACACGGACAACAGCCAGAGTGATGTCGGTAATGTATCAGTGGCCTCGATTCCCAAGGATCTTTCAGGGATGGGAGAGGTGGTGGTGCAGTGCCAGCACCAGTGGAGGAAGGTGTGGCTATGGAGGCTGTCCAACCAGCTCAGCTGCACAGCCTCTCCCCAATGTATCCCAGAGGTGGGTGTGCATTCTCTTTGTGGATGAGTTGCATCCTCTCTGCACTCTGGTTTCAGTGAGTATGTCTCGGCAGAGTTGCCAGCCACAATGATCAGCACCATGGACAGCACTTGAGCTGTCTTCTGCTCACATGCATTCTGCGCCTCTGAGGCCCAGTAGCCCTCATGGACATGGTGGTTGGCCTCCCGCTTGCTGCCTTGCTGGGCGCTGTGGCTGCCATTCAGCAGGGTAGGTCTGCACAAGATCCTGAGATGCCACTGCCTCAACCACCCAACAGACCCCAGACCAGCACTTATGCCACCTATGGACCTGGACCATAGGAGACTGAGGAGAGGATGACCCTCATATGAGAGTGGAAGAACAATGAAACTCCTAGCAGCTTGGGAGGGGCAGGCCCAATCCAGGGAATTTGGGGTGATGATGGGGCAGTACCCTCTCCAATGCTAAGGATTTGTCTTTGGAGGGCTGCAACAGGGAGTGGAAAGGGGTGATCAGCAGTGACAGCAGGCTTCGTCTTGGGGACACTGCACTGTTGGTGGGTCATTGTCTGCTGGAGGTGAGGGATGCAGGAGGAATGGGAGGTGGCTTTGGAGGACGAGGCTACAGACAACTTATTTGGATGAATCAAGAGTGAACTAAGATGCTACAAACTTACAGATCAACTTCAAACAAGCATTGGATCAAGGAATTAAGCATATAAATCATGAAGCAGGGTTGTTAAGGTCTGGTGAATCTGTACAGGTTTTTCTTTTCCTTACATGACCATCTTAAATGAAGTTTCTCCAGCTGTGTTTGTGTCCTCCCTGCAGAAACACATCTCCTCAAATGCAATATTCCTCTAACAATAATATCTCTCAAATTCCTTGTCACTATCCTGGAGTTTTGGTTGTTCCTTTCAGAACATGAGGCTTAAGAGGGCTGTTTTGCCTGACTTGCTTTTCAGCTGGAATGTAAAGCTTCAGATCTACACTCACCAAAATTCTTTCTACTTAATTGCATCTGCACCCCACCCTTTTCCCAAGGAGCTTAGGTTGGCATACATGGCTGTCTACCCCCATTTTACCCAGCTATCCCTTAAGGCCGAGACAGTGACTTGTGCAAGGTCCACCCAGGGAGCTTCATGGCTGAGTGTGGCTTTGGACCTGGATTTCCCTGGTCCTGGTTGGATTTTTAACCATGTTGGCTTTGAGTGCCTCTCTCCTGCGTTCTCTTCTGCACTGACAGTGATCCCACATTCACATAATTAGCACAAAGGCGCAAAGCCTGTTTAAAGATACAGTGTGTAATGTGGGTGTGCTAATGTCTGCATATGAGTAAGGTGGTGCGGAGGAGGAACCTAACCCTTACCTTTTGTTTTGGAGCAGCCTGCCAGTGCATTTAATTAGAAACCATGCATCTTGGAAAATTCATGTGGCGTGCCTATATTCTTCCTTGCTGCTAGTCTGTTAATAGGAGGCAATGCAAACCTGCCCCTGTGTCTGTCTCCCCAGGTCAGGAAGGCTTAGAAGGGAACTGGTGTGGGGGGCCTCCAGTTCTGAGGCAGGGATATCCAGATCCAATGGCCTTTCATGGTCACTGGCAATATGGAGATCTTCTGAAAGATGCTGGTCCTCTTTTGAAGAGAATCCAGGTCTGCAGTCTGGGCAGGGCTGACTCCTCCCACACATTGCCGTCCACAAAGATAGGCCTGTACTGTAGCTTCCTATGTTGTCAGTAGAACAGGAGTCTCTGTTCTGGTCCATTAGTGAAGATTGGAAGGCAACCTACCACCTTGACCTCAATTTAGATAGCTGTCCTAGCTGCCACAGTAGCACTAGCTGATCTCTGCCATAGCCCAGTCACCTGGAGTTGAGTCATTCCTGTTTTGAGATTACTTGTACTTTTTAATCCTGATAGGAAAATGGATGTTAAGCTTAAAACTGTTTTAGTGAGGATATTTTGTGAAGCCTGGATTTGAAGGGGTACAGTGTGTTAGCTCTGCTTTACAAGCTCTGGGGCTTTAAGTCTGTCCATTGGCCTCAAATGCTCCGACGAGTGGAGCCCAGGACTGCCACCTTGTTTTCCTGCCTGGTGCTTTAATCATTTTGATGCTGAAGATAAGCTAGCTGAGACTCGTCAGGCAGAAGACGTCCTTTAAAGAGTGTTTTTTGCTGAAAAAACTCAACACCATGGTGCTGAAAAGTGTTTGTGCAACTTGCAAATGTAACCTACTTCTCATATCACTTAAATTATTCATCAAACTTCTAAGCACAGTTGTAGAAGCAGAGGGCCAGATTATTACCATTGCTGGTTCGTCTCATTAAGTAAAGGTCTGTCTGGTTCCTCCAGTTTGCCTTAGATCCAGGATACCTTTCATGGAGTGGTGGCAACGATGCATGTGAAAGGTTCTGAGTTCCTCTTGCTGAAAAGAACAGGAGCAAGTGGCCTTTTTGTTTTCATAAATGTGTATGAAATCCCAAAGTATGCTGTTTATAGTATGTATTTTTGGCTTGTATCTCTCTTCTGCTGCAAAGTGAATAAGATGCTTGCATATTTTTTCAGACTGAAAATGATGAGCTGAGGGGAAGGAATGGGCTTCACTGGCTGTGGAACACTTCTGATTGATCAGGAAGTGTAATTTTGGGGGGATGGAGGCTTGTATGAAGTCTGGAAGAAAACAGGCAGGTATAATATGAGGGGAGGGGGGAGAATGGGGTTGCAGAAGAACAGATGGTAAGAGAGGCATGTGTAACTAGATGACAATGAGGACCTCACAAATACACACACACAGAGAGAAAGAGAACTTATAGTTCTTTCCCCTCTCACCGCCACCACCCACTGCGGTTTTCTCTCCTCTGCCCCTCCTTTATGCTTGTCATTTGTCAGAGAAGCTAAAGGCACCTCTTACCTTTCATTTCCAGAAGTCTTTACAGCCTCCTTCACCCCATTACTGTCTGCACATCAGCGCAGGGCAATCAGCATCGCCTTGGCCATGTTTTCCTGCTTCCACCTCCATCCAGTTTTATCACCCAAAGTGACACTGTTTGTCATTAGAAGCAAGCATGATGATAATCACCACAATTTCTTTTATTTCTTTCTGAATTAAGTAAACTGATGATGTGTGAAATTAAACCAAGTTTCCCTTAGGGCAGTATCATCAACCTTGAGATCCTGTCTGGCCCTCTAAAGTTTGAGACCCCTGCATGTTCCTCCACCGACTGCTTTGCCCATTCTTTCCCCTCCTTGCTATGATTCTGATTTTACTCCATAGTAGGCAGAGAAACAGGGTAGGGAAGAGAACCAGGACTGGGCTAGGAGGCACAAGAGATGCATCATCTGCCCCTGTCTTGGAGCATGTGAAGGATATAGATGGAAGTTTTGGGTTAACACCTGTCCACTTTGGTTCTTACCTCTGCTTGCTGCCTTTTCATTTTCCCACTCCCTTTAATGAGAGAATAAACTGCACATCTCCAGCTTGTAAATTTGGGGCTTTCTATTTGAATGGCATGACGGGGACATTCAGCTATCCCCCCCCCCCAGGTTACAAGACCTGCCAAATTTCAGCCAGATTGGCAAAGGGTCTCCATTTTAGTTAAGACCCCCACATTCCTATTTCACCTTTGCCTTACATTACAACAGATGTAAAATAAGGGTGGGTGCATTTCTTTCTTTTTTTTCTTCAGTTGCTTTAGAAATGATTGCACAAAACAGAACCTGTGCTTTGTCCCCTTGTAATTGCATCTATCATTCTGCAGCCTCATGCTGTGGCCTAGCATATAATGAGAGTGTGATATACAGGGAATATACTGACCCTTGTGGAATAGACTTGAATACGCCAGTAAAAATGCCAACATGGCTCAGCTAAGTGCAGCCTGCTTAAGTGTTGTTGATCTCCAGATGAAATCAAACCTGGCACAGACTTATCTGGAGACCATGCAGTTTCTGGGCAATTTTGTATATTAGCTACAATGGTGGAACGAATCCTTCATAAATATTACACCCATATTTCAGTGGAGACGTAACATCTGGCATTTGTGCTTTTAGCTTTCTTACCCATCTCTCCTGTTAATGTAACTCTCTTGTAATGTTTAGGGAGTGTCTGTTCCCTGGAACTGTACAGTAGCACTCCCTTAACGGCTGGGCTTTTCTCTTTGTTCTGTTCCAGGTCAACGTGGAGTCTTAAGGGAGATTACATTGCCTCCAACACAGACGAGTGCACAGCCACTCTGGTGTATGCTGTTAATCTGAAGCAATCTGGCACCGTCTCCTTTGAGTATATCTACCAAGACAGCAGCATCGTCTTTGAGTTCTTTGTATGTTTCCTATAACTCAATCCACCTTGCTAATATTGCATGCAAAGTGAGGGAGGATTTCTTCTGGGCACTGTCTTTACCTATATGACCACCTCTGCATTAGTTTTCACTTTCTGGGCCTATCTGAAAAATGGATGGTTGCATCTTGTTGCAGTCAAGGACAAGGATTCCTGGTATTTAAAGCAGAAAACATGGAAGGAGGTTCGTTTTTGTGTTGCTGGCAATTCATTTAGCCTCCCCCTGAACTGTTCCTTCTTGGACTTCATCCGGTGACAAATGAATTTTGGCAGCAGTTATTTTTGCAGTCCTTTCAAGATACAGTGGTTTCCCTTTTTAGCGCTTCAAAGATAATGATGCTCATTTAAAACAACAGCATTACTTTGGCATCTCCTCTCCTCCCTATTCACTACAATACAGTAGCCAAGAAGACTTTTCCAACATTTATACCATCTCCAGAGCCATCTCCAGGGCCATTAACATATACCACTGTGTTATTGAAAGTGCACTTCAGATAACTTAACAACTCTGAAGTGTATTGCGGTGCATTTTATCACAATTTCTTTCATAGAAGTGGCTCTTCCTCTACATTGCTTTAAGAAAGTGGGTAGATACAGGAATGGTTGCCTTGAGTGCCAAAATGGACACAAAACCATTTAACTTCTTAAAAATCTCTGAACAATGTGCTCTAGGTTTGCTGCTGGAGGATTAGTTAGGGCACTTTCTCCATCTTGTACTTTTGTAGGAGCCCAGAGAAACCTACAGCAGCCTATCTTTCCATCCTTTAAAGCTATGCATACATTCTCTCTACACTACATCATTAGAACTTGGTCCTACAAAAGAGTTTTGCCCTCCAGCAGCAAAAATGTTAAAACTGACTACTACAAATCAACTTATTTACCCCATTCATCCTCATCCCACGTTCTCATTTGTTGCAGATTCAGAATGACCAGTGCCAGCCAACCGTAGAGGAGTCACGATGGATGAGAACCACAGAGAAAGGGTGGGAGACGCACACTGTAAGTGCACAGAGCTCCTTAACTGTGCTTATGGCCAGCAGGGGCTTGGAGAAGGAGACCTGTGTGTGCTTCTGGGACTCAGTACTGAAGTCCCAAACGGTACAGCCTTTCAGTATCAGCTGGGACTTGAATTGTCTGTGCTTTGAACATTTGCAGGTGGAGCTGAGTCAGGGCAACAATGTTCTGTTTTGGAGAACGACAGCCTTCTCTGTGTGGTCCAAAACTCCCAAGCCTGTGTTGGTGAGGAACATTGAGATTACAGGTTTGTGTTTGGTTGGTGCATGTCTCGGGTCTGATGCCACTATGCAAGTTGTCGTTGTGCCCAGCAGCGGCTAAAAGGTTTTTTCCCCTCTCTTGCACTGCTATCCAACCTCACCCCTTTCCTACCCCCTGTTCCCTAGGAGTAGCCTTCACTTCTGAATGCTTTCCCTGCAAAGCAGGCACCTACACAGCCAAATTAGGTTCTTCCTTCTGCCAGCCATGCCCAGCAAACTCCTACTCCAGCAAAACAGCTACTTCCTGCCACCAGTGCGAGCCAGCAATGTACTCAGGTAAGCACCTTAGCTAATTATCAGAAAACTTACGAAGGAGGCTGATTTATGACTTTGGAGTATAGGAAGCTGCTTTTATATGGAGTCCATCTTGCTCAATATTGTCTACACTGACTGGCAGTGGCTCTCCAGGGTTTCAGGCAGGAGTCTCTCCCAGCCCTACCTGGGGATTGAACTTGGGACCTTCTATATGCAAGGCAGGGGCAGTACCACTGAGCTATGGTCTATTCCCATAGCTTTACTTAGCAAAAGTATCCCATATCCCCAGCTGTTTGCCCAGCTTCCAAGTTCAGTTGAATATGCTACCTAAATCTTCCTGCCAGCTTAGAACCCATTGCACCTGCTCTAACGAAGAAAATCCAGTTGCTCTCCTTTCTCCTCTTCAAAAATGTAATTAATGTAGCCACGTTCTTTCCCCTGTTTCTGTAAGAGGCTAAGTCTGCAGTTTGGGTACTGCTTTTGCTTTGGCTTGTAATGATTTGGCATCATCCCTCTGATCACACACACACACACACACACACACACACACACACCATTTTCTTTCTCCCAGTAACATTCACAAGCATGTGAAACTGAGGGGGAGAGGAGGGAAAACAGTAAGCGAAGATGAAACCAAAAGCCTGGGGTAGCCAGTGTAGTGCCCACCCAGATGAGCCTCAGTCAGCCCAAACCAGCATAGACAGTGGGTCAAAGATGATGGGAGCTCCTGGGAGACAGCCCATTAGCTATCCTTGCCAAAAACTATTTCTAAGCAGTTTCCATTAACACAAGCACCAAGAAGCATTGTTTTAACTTCCTCCTGCCTTATTGATAGTGAGGCATTTAAAAGTGCAGTTATTTAAATTCCCTTCATCGTTGGAGGGTGTTGTTGGTATGCTTAGAAGCATTTATTATTGCAAGCTGGAAGCATAGGGAAACCCCACCCCCCCAGCTTTTGCATGCCCACTTGGGTGCCATTTTCCTTCTTCCCTGGGCATTTGATAAGTTTGAGAAAGTTGCGGGGTGGGGACTGGCAAGCAAGATTACTTGCTACGATGGAGAAATTAGCCCAGGCTGGATCTATATGAGCTTTGGAAAATTACTGGGGAAATCTTGAGCTTTTTCAGAGAATTCTCCAAACGAAAGTTTGGAAAGATCTAGCCTATTAAATGTAGGCACATTTTTATCCTTTCCATGGAAAGTAGGTCTAAGTCTCAAGCAGATTTTTGATCCGTAGTTCTGTGTTTTTGGAGGAATTTTACACAGCTGGATTTGGGGCATCGTTCTCATGTATTGCTCTCTGCATAATGAGGGGTATGTTTTGTTAGGGCCTTCATGCTTTCAGCATAATTTGCTCAGTTCTATGGAACTCTGCCTTGCAGAAAGACTTGGACAGTTACTCTCAAATTACAGGCTCATAGCAATTTTATTCCTCTTTGTGGTTGCTTAGAATCACAGAATTGTAGAGTTTGAAGGGGCCACAACGGTCATTTAGTCCAACCACCTGCAATGCAGCAATCTTTTGCCCAGCATGGGGCTTGAACCCATGACTCTTGAGATTAAGAGTCTCATGTTCTACCGACTTAGCTATCTCAGGCTTGCATCATATCTGGCGAGTGCAGTATCAGTGTTGTCTGTTCCCCTATAAGAAGTGGCAGCAGTTGTCACATCAGACTGTGGCATTTTGATTTGTTGCTGTCGTGCAGGAAGACTTTGACTTGATTAGCTTCAAAACCTTATGCTTGAAGCATTTTACCAGGCTGCTGGAAACTATAGGGGGAAACAATGGACCTTGGGTTTCCCCTTTCCTCCATGGGGAAGAGAGTATTCAACTTAATGACAAAATGCTCCATCTTCAGGGCAAAATCCCTGCAATTTTCTCATCAATTGCTGCCACTTTTTCTTACCCTAAAAAGGCTGGGAACTGCCTGCTCCTTTAACATGATACAAAAATGTATTCTTTGTTCCCATCAAATTCAATTGTCTTAAGCAAATATAAGGCAAATGGCTTCTAACAATTTCTAGGAGAACAAACGTTGGAACTGAAGCCTGAAACGACCTGTACATCTGCAAACATGCACACACTGCCCTTCTCATTGCTCTGGTTAAATACACTGAATAGATTTATGGTGTCCATGATTAGTACCTGCTACACAGCGATAAAATATGGGCATGTGTGTGAGATGGGCATGGCACCTTTCTGAAGTTCCTTCTGAGTTGTTGCTAGATTGATTCTTTCATGCTCACGTGGTTTTAACCATTGTTTCCTCTTTTCAATAAAGAACCAGGTTCAGCATCATGCAAGCCACGCCCAGCTTGCACAGATAAGGATTATTTTTATACTCATACAGCCTGTGATACCAATGGAGAGGTAATTCACCTTCTGGATTTCCTTGTTTGTGTTGGTGGCGTTTAAATAATGAACATTTCTTGTTTAGCTTTTTGACGTACACAGCTATAGAGCTTACCTTTAAGGGAAAAGACCGTACTGCAAAGCATTGTTCATGCTTTAATAAGCAGGGGCATAAGGAGTAAGTGAGCATGCAGGAATATAAAGGAGTCAGGCCCTGAAGATGGCATGGCTGGCTAAGCCTACCCACCTCTTTTAATAAGCAGAACCTACTGCTGCTGGTTTCTCCTTATTAGAAGAGGTGTATGGCCCTGGAAAGGCCTCACCTCCTTGTCTACCTCAGGAAGAGGGAAGAGGGAAGTGGCTACAGCGGGATGTGGCATGAACCTGCAGGCTTCCTTCTCTTGGTGGTGGTGTGTGGTGACGAAGGGGAGAAACTTGTTCTTCCCATCATCATGCCACCGCCACCAAGAGAAGGAAGCCTAAATGGGACAATAAGGGGAGAAACACTTTCTCCCCTTGTGTCCTGCCTCAGAGAAGGAAGCCTGTGCAGGATTCCTTGCAGTGACAGACTTTGGGGTCTCCTGCCCTCTGGGGCAAAATGTATCACGCCGGCACTGGCACCTGGTGTCACTGTGAAAGCAGAATGTTGGGGTAGTTGGGTCAATTCAAGCAAGGCTCTTCTTATCACTGCTGTGTGCAAAGAGCACCCCCATGTGGACCATTTCATACTGACAGTATATTACTAAACTTGGGGAGGGAACTCAGAACACCCGGGAGTAAGAGGAGGAGGAGCTAATATCTTGGGGCTTCTTTCCTGGAATATTATCATAATGCTTTTTGCAGATGGGCAGAGAGCCTGTGTAATTGTTGTTCATGTAAAGAGATATCTAGGCATTGCGCAGCTTTTTGCGGATTAAAGTGTAGAAATGTTTGCTCCTATCTCTTTCTTATATCAACAGACTCAGTTAATGTATAAGTGGGCCGAACCAAAGATCTGCAGCGAGGAGCTCCCCGGTTCTGTAGAATTGCCTGCTTCTGGTGTAAAAACTACATGCCCACCTTGCAATCCTGGTTTTTTCAAGACAAACACCAGTTCCTGTGAGCCCTGCCCATACGGATCATATTCAAATGGGTCTGGTAATGCTGTTCTGTTCTTTCCTTCTTGGCTGGCCAAATTGTCACGTGAATTACTTTCTTTAAAATGTTTCAATGAATAGGGACCTGTGCAGTGTCAGTGGGGATGCATACAGGGAACCTGAAGTTATTGATTTAGAGTTGATGTTATTTATGCTTACTGCATTCAGAGGTGGCATAAAAAGGAGCCCAGTCTTTGTGTGAGCTCTTCATTTTCCTATTCTTCGTTACTGCTCATAATTCCACATTCTTGCCAATGGCAACAGAGTTGTAAGGTAGAATACAGCTCATGGAACTGGCTGCTTTGTCCTTACACAGATAGCTCCTCTTTGTCACTTACTTGATTAAAAACAGCAACAACAAAAATGCATGATATGACACTCCCCTTCTATCAGGAAATTCATTGGTAATTTGCAGAGGCGGCTACCAGCCTATTCTTAGGGTTTGCTTAACCAACCACTTTTGCAAATGGAAGAATCAATATGCAACGACTCTCCTGGTAAAGGCCTGCAAGGTAATATTATCTTGTGGTAGCAGTGTAAGTGTAAGTCCTGGAAAACACTTTCCCCCCCCCTAGTATATGTCAAGATACCGCAAAATAGTGGCTAGAACTCACCGGGCCATTTTGCCACTTGGATATCAAGTGGGAAAGCTCTGCCCAAGGGGATTTTTCCACCTGAAAAAAGTGTGCAGTATATGTTCAGTAGGCATGCGCATGTGCACACCACTGAAGCATGTTGCTGCCAAGCCTGCCTCTGTATAGGTTATTCTCATTCTTTGTTTCAGAAAGGGCTGCTAGCGCCCACCAGCCTCCTAGTGACAGCCTTCCACATGGGAGTTCATTCCTCCTCCCGAGTTTCAGCATTGTAATGTTGCTTCCTTCTGTTCTCAGGTTGCATCAACTGCACCGTTGGGACTGAACCAGCTCTAGGCTTTGAATACAAATGGTGGAACACGCTGCCAGCAAACATGGAGACGACGGTCCTCAGTGGAACCAGTTTTGAATATAAGGGAATGGCAGGTATCTTCATGGGCACATATTAACCCGAGGCGTTGGGGCAGTTCTTGCATGGGTGGGCACTGTCATGTTGTGAGGTCTCTTGCCCCTTCAAGCAGTGGGGAAGTTCACAGTGCAGTGACGCTTGCTCATTCCACTCGTAGTGTCAGATGTTGCCAGATCAAAGAGAGGGGAGATACAGGGCTGCCTGCTTTCAGCAGCCGTCATGCTAAATGGTCTAGTTCTGGCCTCAGGCAACTGGACTTCCCGTGTCTCTGAGAAGTATGTAAGCGTTTATAGAGCTGTGTATTTAATGATATCCAGCTGAAGTAATGCCCTTTCACAGAATGGAGATGGTGTTCTGTCTGCTGTTTCAGGGTGGGAAGTAGCTGGTGACTACATCTACACAGCAGCAGGAGCCTCTGACAATGACTTCATGATACTGACACTGGTGATTCCTGGGTTCAGGTGAGTATGTAGCTGAGCTGGCGATGGCAAGCCTATGCATCCAAAATGCAGTAGGAGCACTGAGTCCAAGCAGTGGGACCTTCTCCCCTTTAAGAGTCTGCTGCTTGCATTACTTCTTCCACAATCCTTAACTCACTGTGCTCATTAGTGAACAATAACAGAAAGAATGAATGAGGGATTGAGTTGGCTTTTCAGTTTAACAAATCCTTGAAACATATATGAGCTCTCAGCAGCTGCCTGATTTTTGCCATGTCCTGAAACCAGCCATTCTTTCAATGTATGCGTGTGACTGGAGTGCTTGATTTTATTGGACCGGCCATCCTCAGATTCTTCAACTGTGTTCTGAACAAGAGCATAAGCTGAGGGAAACATTCAGATTCATGGCTTGCTGAAGTAAGCCTTGCTAACTGAGGTGGTCTGTTTCCAGACATTCCTGCTCCCATCTCCTGTCCTTGCTCTGTTTTCAGCAAGACCTTGAGCAAATAGATACCCCCTGAGTTTTGCTTGCTCTCTTGCAGTTCCCCACAATCGGTGATGGAGGACTCCGAAAGTAAAGAGATTGCAAGAATCACATTCGTCTTTGAAACGATCTGCAGTATGAGTTGTGAGCTTTATTTCATGGTGGTAAGTTGATCCAGCTTCTTCTCTCTCCAGAGTGGATAAGCTTTCTCTTGCTTAGTTTGCCTTGGGGTTTTGTGTTCCCAAGGCACAACAGGCTGTGGAAGGCACATGCCCCTTCTTCCTCTGTAGTTGATGCCTTTAGAAAAAGAGGCAAATCTCTTGGCTGTTTCCCAATTCCGGAAACTTTCACCTGAAATCAATATATTCCTATGGGAATATTTTCAAAGGTACAATAGCCCACCTGCATCCTGTGGTTACAGCTCTGTGAGGACTCTGTGTCAAAATGCCACCATGGTGGCGAGAAAAATAAATATAGGTATACCACCTGTTGGTATGTTAAAAAAATCAGCATTGTTGATAACGTTAATATTATTAATAAAAACAGTGTAAGAACTGGAAAACTATTCTAGGCACATTTTTTTCAGAGATACACTTTGGACAGGTAGCAAAGTCACTCATCATGCACAGTGCAAAATGAAAAAGACTTGTGAAAATGTTAAAATAAATGAGTATTATTGGATTTTGCAAATGATGCTCTGAATTTCCTGTGCTTTCTGACCTGCAGCCCAAATCAGCTTCTCTTGGGCTACAATGGGCGCAAAGGAAAATCTCTCCTAGTCACTGTAGCCTCTCTTCCCCAACTTCAGTGTCATCTGTCCTCTTAACTGCTTCCTTCCCACTAATGCCCCCCCTCCCCTCCTTTTCAGTTGGCTATTCCAAGGCTCTCACAATCTGCCTGGCATGATTTCCCTGCTTATACTCGTTACGGAAATATCTGTATCTGTACTAATAAATAATTATTTAGGTAGAAAGTGTTGCTTGCTCTTTACTCACTAGGCCCCTGCTTTATCTCTGGTAGGGTGTCAATTCCAGAACCAACACACCTGTGGAAACCTGGATTGGCTCGAAAGGAAAGCAATCCTACACCTACATCATTGAAAAGAACGCCACCATGAGCTTCACGTGGGCCTTCCAAAGAACAGCATACCATGAGCCGGTAGGGACTATCACTTCCTGGGGAACCTTCTATTCATGGCCAGCTCCTCAGTTATCCTTTTTATGGGGAGTTCCTTGCCAGGAATCAGATATACCCCAGTGTCTTGCTAATCAAAGATGTCCTAGCAAGGAATAGGCATGCTATCCTCATTTGCAGCATCCCACCTTCCCTTTATCAAACGCTTCTACCTCTCCAAGGCCCTTTGGGCACTTTCTGTGTTTCGTTCTAGGGAAGAAAATACACCAACGATGTTGCCAAGCTGTACTCTATCAATGTGACCAACGTCATCGAAGGCGTAGCGTCATACTGCCGGGTGTGCGCTCTGGAATCCTCGGGCTCGTCCTGTACTTCCTGCCCACACGGCCACTACATCGACAGAAGCACTGGGGGCTGCTACCCGTGTGCAGCAAACACGTACCTGAAAGCTCACCAGCCCTATGGCAGCCAGGCCTGCATCCCTTGTGGCCCCGGCACAAAAAACAACCCGGTAATATTGTCCTCCTTTCTGCCTATCGTTTCTGGCCAATTTGCAATGATCTACACTGTTAGCTAAATAAAAGCGCCCCATTAAGTTTATAAATCATTTAGTTGGCAGAGGGCTATCCATTAAAAGCAGCAGTGGGGCAGTATCAATATATTAGTATTAGTATTCGTATTATTAGTATTAGTATACCGCCCCTCATCCAAAATTACAGACAGAATCTGCATGCAGAAGAAATTGCAGATCTGTTGGCCGGAGAGGGTTCCACTTGAAGTGGCAGGCAAGATCCCACCCAGTCATCAAAGCCCGCCCGCTCACATGGTATGCATGAGGCCAGATCCTTAAAAAAGAAGAAGATATATAACTGAAAACTTTGTCTTAATAAATTTTTGCATTTTTCTTATTGAAAACGTGGAACCTGTAGACTGAAAGGGATTCTTCCCTTACCAAATCATCCCAGAGTTTTGCTTTTTAAAAAACCCCAAGCTTGTCTTTCCTCAGAAATATTAAGTTATTTCCTGCCAAAATGGAAATGGCATTAGAACAGCTAAGCGGTTCATCTCCACATATTCTGTTTTGTGTAATTATCCACATGGTTCCCTGGAGGAAATTGGCAAGTGAGATTACTGTGAACAAAAGCTTATGGAATTCTGGATCACTATAAACCTGGCCAGCTTGAGAATAATCAGCCACATTTGGGCTCCTTCCTCTCAGAGTAAACTTGGGTTTTACATGCTGCTGGAGACGATGACAATTTCTGAGCTCCTCTATGAGGAAATAAATTGACTGTAAAAAAATGTTCTGCTCCCCAGATCCATTCTCTTTGTTACAGTGACTGTCACCTCTCAGTCATCGCGGACGGCAGGACTCTGGAGTATGACTTCTCAGCACTGTCTAATAGCACCTCCTTTTTGGTGGGGCCCAGTTTTACCACCAAAGGGCTAAAGTATTTTCACCACTTCAACATCAGCCTCTGTGGGAATCATGTAAGTACGTGGCGAGGCTTCTGAGAAGCCCATCCTCTATGCGGGGCCCCAACATGTGAGAGTGGCTTATATGGTACAAATCACCCTTATGGTGTAGAGAGTTTCTAGGCACCCATGCTCACCTCGCAGCCGCAGAACGTTTCCTTAGCAGAATCCCATCCTCCTGGCTACTCTCGCTGAACCACTGCAACAAAATATCTCAAATTCTTGAAGGTCTCTTATCTGTAACTTAAGGGAAATGTGTTACTATCGTGATGCAACTGCCCTTCTCTCCTGTGAAAGGATGGGTGTTAATAGATCCCTGTGCATTGAAAGTGTCTGTGTCTGTGTGTCTGTGTCTGTGTGTGTGTGTCACAGTATCATTGATTTATCCCCACCACCAATGGCACCTGGTGACCACACCTATGCATACAGAACTCTTCGGAATAGGGTCTCTGTTTGTACATAGAGCTTCTCCATGCAAAGCAGGGTCCGTTTATCCCAGACTCCCCACCCCTGTTATATGTGGGAGTTCTACGCACATACATTGATACACAAATAGACGTCCTTCCAACATGCATGGGTAATGGAAAATGTGGTGATCAGAGACACTGGTGCTAGGCTTTGAAACCGTCCTCGTGCTTTCAATGCAGTAGGGTGGGTTCATCTGAGTCCTCTTACTATGGTTCCTTTAAAAAGAACTTCAGGTTTTATAAAGACAAGGATCCAGCCAACTCTCTCTCTCTCTCCCCCCGCCCCCCCTGCAAATCTCTGAAGGGAAGGAAGATGGCAACCTGCACGGATAACGTCACAGACATGCACATCCTGGGCAAAGAGACAGAGTTCTCCAAATCAACTTCCTCCTATGTATGCCAGTCCATCATTGTCCCCTCTGATGTGATGGCTTACAAATCAGTGGTGTCTTCACAACCCGTGAGCCTGGCAGACCGCTTTGTAGGTGAGAATTGCAGGGAGCATAAGTCTGTGCTTTGAACAGAGGACTCTGGTTGCTGTTTGATAGAGGCTTTTGGGGGAGTTGCATGTGCTGATTCAGGTGACAGGAACATCCCTGATTATGCCTTCTAGATAAATAATAGAATCATATGAGTTGGAAGGTACCCAAAGGGTTGTCTAGCTCAACTCCCTGCAAAGCAGGAATTACAGCTAAGGAATCCCTGACAGATGGCCATCCAACATCTGTTTAAAAACCTCCAACGAAGGAGAGTCCATCATGTTCCAAGGGAGTCCATTCCACTGTCAAACAACTGAATGGAAAAGTAGTGAGTTCAGTGTGGCTTCTTCACCTAAAACAAAGTCAACTTTGATAAAAACTCTATACTACTCGGTACCACTAAACTTTAGTTTCCCACTCCTCAGCTGTGTTTTTTGCTTTCTGTCCAGGTCCCAGGAAAGCAAAGGAGGCAAAGTCATAGCAATTTCCCAATTTTTGCTGCTTCTTTTTAAAAAAAAGCATATAGGTAGAGAAATATTTTTTTTTTTTTTGCACTGGGTTCCGTTCTACCTCAAATCACTGGCACAACCTCCAGGCCCATAAAATAAAGTATATTTTATTTTCAAGAATTGGCAATTAGTTTTATTTTATATATTGCCATTTTATTTTTATTTTTGTCAAGACCTGGCAATCCAGTAGCTAAACTTGGGTCACTCACACAACACTAACAGAGCCTAACCAAAGGCACAACAGGCCTCACTTGTTTCTCTGACCCTGATCAGCATTTGTGAGGAAAGCAATGAAAAAGACAAGCCTATTTTCTGGAAGCAGTGCAGAGAGAATTGAAATGGGATTCTCCTCTGTGAAGCTCTTTAGCACAGTCAGTTTTGGGAGAGGGGTGGTCCTGGGAGTGGCCACTGTCTTCTCAGTGCACTGTCCTTCTCACTGGTTTGCTTCTAACTTGTAGGAGTAACAAGGGAGACCACTCTGGACAACATCACTTCTTTTCCTGACTATTTCCCTGCAGAGAATGTGGGCTTACCGGATGTGATATTTTTTTACAGGTAAGCTACAAGCCTGCCAAACATAGGTGAAGGCAGTTTTAGCAGTTTTCTTCTGTGGGAAACTCTGGGTTATTCATGTGTCTTGGAACATTTTTTAGTATTTCAACATCACAGGGAATTTGGGGGCTTTGGCATTCTGGAACCTTCCAAAGAGGATTGAACAAATTTATGAAGGGATAAAGCTATCAATGGCTACTAGTTGTGATGGCTGTGCTCTGCCTCCACAATCAGAGATAGTAGTGCTTTTGAATACCAGTTTCTAGAAACCGCAGGAGGAGAGAGTGCTCTTGTGTCAAATCATTCTCTGGAAGGTCTTGGGTTCTGCTGCTTCTTGCTTGCTCATGAGGTACACAGTTCATGAGGTACACAGTGATGATTTGCAGGTGAACCAGCCACAGTATTACTGCTGTTACCAGCAGGAGTGGCTTTGATTCTGCAGAACCAGTTTGGCATCTTTTCTCCCCGCCTTCATCTCAGCTCATCTCTAGCCTCTGGCAGGTGGGACTTGAATGTGTGAGAAGGAAGTTTGATCATTTTTTGGATGCTACTTTTCAGTGCATTCCTATGCTTAATTTGAAGGAACTTTTCAAGAAATCTTTAGTATTCCCATACCCTGGGAAAATCTATCCTTGTGATTTGTCCTTCCTTTTCCTTGGGCCAGATTTCCTCTTTTAGTGCCATTTGTACAGCTGTGCAGCAATCCTTTGTATGAAAAAGAAAAAATGATACAGTACATGTTTCTTAAGCGTTTCCCACTTTTTAAAAGTATGAAAACATGCTAGAAACAAGGGAGATACACAACTGTATTAGTGAGAAATGCTAGTACTGTGAAGCCTTGTAAATGACAGGGCCTTCAGCTTTAGCAGGGATTTAATAACATGCATATATGTTGCAGATCCAGTGATGTGACTCAGACTTGTAGTGCTGGGAGAGCTACTGCCATTAGAGTGAGATGTGATCCTCTAAAACCCCACTCTGGAGTGCTCTCTGTGCCGAGGTAAGTTCAAAGGTTAGTCAGTCTCAATAGCAGGTGCGCCCTGTTAAAACTACATTCTCCTCCAAACTCTACATTGGGGCAAAAACTGGAAAAACTGGTGGAGAAAAAATATATAAATAAATGCTCTCGATGCTGTAAAAATAGTCACACTGAGAACAGCACTTACTTTCGTATTGGGTGCACTCGCTTCCAATTCCAGTTGTAATTTATATTTCAGTTTTGTCCACTCCTATGTTTCAAGCTGGCTGCTCATCTTGTTTATGCATTTTAATAGTTGCTTTTTAAAATGAGAACTAAGGAATAATGATTTAGCAAAGACTGTAGCTCAGTGGTGGAGCATCTGCTTTGCATGCCGCAGGTCTCTAGTTCAGTCCCTGGCATCTCCTGATAGGGCTGAGAATGTCCCATCTGAAATCCTGGAGAGCCTCTTCCAGACAACATAAACAATACTGAGTAGCTGGAGGTCAGACATGGCATAGGGTAGCTTCCTGTGTTCACAACCCTTCTAAAGGCAAAACTAAAAGATGCATAAAAGCATCTCCACTGCTTAAAGCTTTCTCCCCCCCCCCCAATAGTAGCTATAACAGCTCCAGTCTGGGTCAGGCCTGTAGCACAAGATGAAGTTGTGTTGACATTGACCCTTTCCACTCTGCACCATTTCCCCAATGGTACTACCCCCCCCCAATAAAAGGCTGCTGTTGCTGATGCAGGGAAAATGATAGAAATGTGCATATGATTTTCCTGCTGTGGAGTTATTTTTATTGGGAAAATGATATGGGGAGGAATACTAAAACTATATTATTGTGCTGCACTATAATCCCAGTCTGATTTGGGAGGTGTAGCTATTTTTTTGGCAAAAAGTGTAAAGACACCAAGTTGCATTCATACGCCACCAACTTTATATGACGTTTATCACTGTGACACGCTTCTGGAACCCAGTTCAGTCTCATTTACATTTACAGACCTAACCTATCGGCATAAGCTTTGCCATATCCGTTCCTTCACATACCAACACAACTTCTTTACCTCTTTAAAATGCAGAGGTCTACTGGGTATAGTCAAAGTAGAATGGTGGTGAAGTGGTCTAACAATGGAGCCTATCACAACCTTGCAGGGTTTAAAGTCTTTCATGAATGTCACAGGTCTCCAAGGGGTCTGTGTAACTCAGATGCAGGAAATGCCTAAGACCTATTGACATCTATGAAAGAAATAGCATTTACAGCAAGAACAAGTGTTCCATGCAGCAGAGTTCATGCGCTACATACATGAGGCATGGCTTTGGTTCTCTGGAGTCACTGGTGACAGACTCTTTCGTGGCAGGTCTGGGACAAGGTTATGTCTTGACACTCACAACAGCTAGGTCATGAGGTGAGCCACTGAATAGACTCCATTTCAGATGGCACTTTATAATTTTTCAAACAGCAAGTGCCCTGAAGGAACCTGTGACGGATGCACTTTCCATTTCCTGTGGGAGACCGTTGAAGCCTGCCCCCTCTGTTCTGCAGATGACTACCATGCTATCATCAGCGCCTGTGTTGGAGGGATTCAGGTAGGGACTCAGAATGTCTTCTTTTGAGTTCTTATCTTCAGGGCCTGAGAGCTGCCCATTTTTGTGACTATTATCTGAACATTAAAACAAGTCATCGACAGCTACGGCAGCCCAATGATCATTTAGTGAACATGCCCATTAGGACAGGCAGAGACACCAGATTGAAATAAACATTTTTTTCCCCCTGGAGTTGTCACAAAACCATACTTGTCTGATCTTAAACATGCTTACCTGAAGTCAGTTCCACTGATTTCACAACAATAAACCACTTCAGCAGCAGGTTCAGCAATGATGTACCGATTTATTTTTTTTAAGAGGATTCAAGATCCCTCTAGAGTGGTGGTGGTGGTACAACTATTATTGTTGCTTCGAATCTGTAAGGTGGCATCAACGCTACATTTCTATATTGGTTTCAGTTTATTTCCCTGAAAACCATTTCTAAATGGCTTAGCATAAAATCTCTCCTGAGTGCTACAGGGTAAAACAGAAATGTACAGTAAGACCATCAGCATCAAAAAGAGTACAAAAATGCAACATGAGCTGCGACTGCATGTGATTAAAAGAAGGCCATGCCTGCTTTCCCTTCCACAGAGAACCACGTATGTATGGAGGGAGCCCAAGCTGTGTTCAGGAGGCATTTCGCTCCCAGATCAAAAAGTCAGCATTTGCAAATCCATGGACTTCTGGCTCAAAGTGGGCATCTCGGCGGGGACTTGTGCTGCTATCCTGCTGACTGCAATGACTTGCTACTTCTGGAAGAAAAACCAGAAGTGAGTAGCTGCTTCTGTTGCTGCCCATTATGCATGCATGCTTGCTGGCCGGCTGGCTGGCTTGCTTGCTTGCTTCATAGCTGCCCAATACCTTTTTCAAGGTTGCCCTTTAAATCAGATGGCAACCTTGAACAGCACAGCAGAAGCAAATAGGCGAGTCTGTGTTCAAAAATAACAAGCTCTTCAATAATATGTCTATCTTTTATACATTGTTACATATCAGTGATAGCATTCTCACCTTCCCCAGTTTGCCTTCTTATCATCCCATTCTCAACCCTGCCTATCCTTCCATGCCTAAAACGCAAGAAAGACCCACCAAAAACAAACCAGTTTTTATTTTCCAGAAGCGTTAAGTGCATGCAACTTTAACACACAAACAGTGCATCCATAGCCCTATTCAGTAGCACCTTGTGAAAGGAGACATCTTCATACGGGCAGTGATATATAGGGGAAGAACCCCCCCCCCAAAAAAAAACTCTTTACTGGTGGGCATCAGGTTAGCATTGTGTAGTTACAGGGTTGCTGACTGGCTAGGAGTGCCTATGACTTTTCACAAGCCACAGCCCTTTATGAGTCACCCCTTCACCATATTGCTACAAAACTTGCAGATGGATCCTGTGAATTAGTTTCCCAGCATATGCACTAGAAAAAGCTGGTGGCATTACCAGCAAATATTGAGTGGAGTTTGCTGAGCAGTGATCCAGTTCCAGCTGTAGTTGTGATGAAACCTCTTCAAAGAAGAGTGTTTCTTACCCATCAGTTTCTCAACAACTACAGGGGATCAGGTCTACTGTTGCTTGAATGTACCTGCTGCCAGTGGATTTATGCTATGATAAGTGTCCCCTTTGGATGCTTACATATGAAAGTATCTGCTGGCAGAGAGGATACTAGTCCCACCACCACTTGAAATAGAAGCCTTTGCAGCTTGCTTATCTGCACCCAGGAAAGAGGTCTCCACTTCCAAGTAGCAGATGGGGCTCTGAAATGCTCGCTGGCAAAGATCAGCAGCTGAATATTCTGAGAAGGGAAACAGAATTGTTTCCTCTTTGGAGAAACTGAAATTCAAGCTCCTTTTGAATTTTCTCCAGGAGGGAAAATATCCCACCTTTGCAGTGCATGCATAGGATTAAGCTAATAAATCCTTTGGATTGTGAATGTGTATGACTGTGCATGCTTGTTGGGGTGTACAAAACATTTCTTTTTCTACCTGTAACAGTCAGCTTTCATGTGGCTTGAAGCAGGGCTTAGCATCTCCAGATTTTAAAGTGACCCCCCACCCCGCAAGTGTCCCATTTTTGGGACTCAAACTCTATTCATCCATCATCCATCTGGCTTTCTCTATGTCTGTCTTATATCTTTGAAGGTTGGAGTATAAATATTCCAAGCTGGTGATGAATTCCAGTGCCAAGGACAGTGAGCTGCCAGCTGCTGACAGTTGTGCCATTATGGAGGGGGAAGATGCAGAGGATGACCTGATATTCACAAGCAAGAATTCTCTCTTTGGCAAAATAAGGGCTTTCACCACAAAGGTAAGGTGCTTTGTGAGGCCCAGCCTGCACGTGTAATGCGCCAGCATGAAGCAACAGAGGCCTTGGGCTTGGCTCCAGTGTTTATCTAACCTGACAGATGTCTAACATGTCATGTTAAACTTGTGGGGCCACATCTGAATAGACAGCTTCCCAATTCACTTAATATGTACAGTATCCCTGAGGTGTGTGTGTGCCTTTCTCTAGTAGTCGCTATCCTTTTATTTTTGAAGTAATGATTTCTAGCATGGGCTGCTGACTGTGCAAGACCCAGGCTGTAGTAGGGGGTTTGGGGGGAGGGGAGGGAGAAGAGTGATTAAAGCTTCATTCTCCTCCTCTATCCTGTTAAAAATCTTGACAGAGTAGCAAAAGGAAAAGGACATTTTCTCTCCAAACAAATACATCAAACACAGCTAACCTTCCAGGATGCTACAGGCTAGGGACCAATCAAAAGTCATGATTACAGTAACGTCCTCATCCTAGATCTGTGAGCTTTCTCCAGCCTCAGAGTCTATATTCACGTGCTGCTGTGTTTCCTATTCTACTGAGTGATGTTCTGGTTAATGGTGCACTGCTTTTATTTTTCATTTTATCCCTCCCCCCCCTAATGTGGCTATTTGTTTTCCTGTAGGCTTCTCTTAGGTACAGTCAGGCATGGCAGGAGTCTGTGTGTAGGGCTGTTCTCAATAAGCTAAGAGGAGGAGTCTTCCAGGTAGATAGAGACCAAATGTAGATGGTATTGTCTTGTGTCCCCTATGTCTAAAAACAAGCCAGCTGACTGAGGGCATATAGTAACCAAATGGCATTGGATGGGTTGACAATATGGCCTTGTGACATCTGACTGGGACCCAGCATGGTATGGTATTCTTGGGAAATCCAAGCCACGCTGCAGGCTTTCTACAGCTGCAGCCTCTCCTTTCCCAAAGGGGGATGGTGCCACAACCTTTATTTTGGAGGAGGAAGGCAAGGAGGCCCAATGTGTGCTGGAGACACACCAATGGGTGTTAATTCAGGCTGCAAGTGTAGGATGCTAAACTTACCCAGAAAGGTCCTTGAGCCCTGGCTTGTCTCTGGAACAAGTAGCTGCTGCTTGTTGTGCTGTCCAGAATCATATATGACTGGCTCTGTGTCACATATCTGCCTGCCTTTTGCTCAGTTTCGTCTTCTGAGAGCCAGAGCCAGGGCTGCTCTGACTTGATGGAGCTGGGGAGAACCAAGGCAGAGCTATGGAAATCTGGGCCTGTGGGGTTCAAATGCCATGTCTGGAATAAGTTATGGGAACTGAACACTGTACACAGAGTGTGGGTGGGTTTTCTCCACTCCCCTGCAAATTACAAGCAAAGTGGGCCTTTCTGCTTGTGACCCAAAGGTTATTCCCGCCCCCACCCCAGTAAATACATTCTGTTAAAATGTTGGCGAACTCTCATGTGTACGGGCTTGCCTTGCTTGAATTAGGGTCTTTAATCAAGAGGTTATGAATATTCAGCTGTTAGCATATATTTCTATTTGCAACATAATAGTTCCTTATCCTCACAACCAGCCTGATGCAACTGCTGCGATCACTGTTACCCCCATTTTGCAGATGGAGGCCAAAATAATTATTTTGCACAAAGCTGCTGGTGAGGTTATTGCAGAAGTGGAGTTTGAACCATGTCCAGCACCCTATCCACAGGGTGGATCCTTCTGAATTCAGTCCTCTCTGGGTGCTGGTTGCTGAGTGGCTCCCACAAGGCTCAGTGACAACCCTCACCTCCCCACCAACTGTCTCTTCTGAATGCACTGCTATCCAGCACAGGTTGCTTCCATGCTAAGGTCCTTAAGTACTCCAGAGACGTAGCTTTTTGCAGTCAGCTGGAAGTAGAACTAAACTGTGGTTCCATATAGCACTTAGGTAGCACTGTGTTTCCCGTAACACTCCTACAATAGCCATTCTGACAGGGTCAGAAGACCATGCATGGAGGCAGCTGGTTATCATAAGAGTTTTGTGGGAGCTGCCCTTGCACCCTACTGCCCTTTCATGAGCATAGGGTGCAGGATTGCACTCTGTGTTCTTTCCGTGTTACTAAATACTGGGATATGACATAATCTGGTTTACTTCAAACAAAAGGTGGGGGCTCTGAGAGTTGCAAATGACATTTTATATAGTCCCACTCACACTTCGTTTTATGTTGTCTTTAGAGAACATCTGATGGCTTTGACTCGGTCCCACTGAAGACCTCCTCTGGCACCACTGACATGGATCTTTAGGAATGGATTGCCCACCTCCCATGCCTTTCCTGCAGGATGCTTTGGGAGTCCTCCTTGGTTAATCCCTGCACTTTGATGAACTTGCCATGTGGCCTTATTGGATACACTTTTAACTTCAGCTTCTTACTGTACTTTTTTAAAACCGAAAATTTTAACATTCCCTCCCGAAACAAAACCATGCCAAATACAACTGTGCTTTTAAAATTATATGTAGATATATATTTGTATGTTTTCCTGCGCTCCCTACCCACTCTTCTGTAATGCTTTTGGGTTTTACCTTTCAACAACAGTTGTTCTATGCTGGTGACAATAGCTGCATTTCCTCTCTCCCCTGACACCAGAAATGTGTAAAACAGCTCAAGATATCATTGCCATTAATTAAGTCAGCCCATTGAGACAGGCTCTTAAGGCTGCAATCCTTACCTGAGGGAAGTATGTATGCACACAGCTGCTCTGTAAATGTTCGTTTCATTTTAACACCAACTTGACTTTCAAAATACTTTCTCTGTGTACTAAAGCAGCAACAGTATTTTGTCAAACAGTGGTGAGGCTTGCCTGCCTCATTAAGAACCCTTCAGAAGAGATACAATTTGGGCTCAAATTGCAAAGTTCTGCACTCCGCCAACCAGCCTCACTTTTATAGGATGACTGTTTCTTATGCCAGAGCAGTCTGCAATGACTTTGCAAGTGACAATTCCATTAAAGGCTCCCTAAATTCCGTCATAGTAGAATCTGCATGTGGTTAAGGCTGGAAGGAGTATACTTCAATCATTTAGAAAGGGTATGATTTAAACATTGAAAAGATTATGGCCCAGAGTAGCTGGATTTTCCTCGTCTGTTTTTATAGCGATGACTTATGGAGAAATGCTGTGCAGTCTTGCATCTTGTTTGTAGACCTTTAGTTTTAAAACAATAAGGGAATCATTTATCCCTGTGCTGACTTTCTCCAATACTTGAAAACCCTTATCCTAGGATATTGAGGCAGGAGGTGTTATTTTTTATGTGACTTCAGAATTTCCATCCAGGAAAATGTGTGCCTATTGTCCGTGCCCCATTGGAACACTTTCCTTTGGAGGAACAAAAGTATAATACTTTACACAGTATCAAGAATCAGGCAGAACTTCCAGCAGAATTATCCTGCATGAACACCAGAAGAATTAATACTTACTTCTTTTCAAGTTATGTGAATTACAGGTGCTAGATCTGTGGCTGTGATTATCAAGTATGCCATGGCAAATAGAGGCTGGAGAATTACAGTCAATCATTTCCCTGTCAGGCCCAAGGATGAGTGGAAAAGCTTTTAGAAAAAAAGCTCTCGACCATGAATTACAGAATTCAGCTTAAAGCAAATCCAGCTCCTCAACTTTCACTGGGGAAATAGGTAACATGTTTATCATTTTATGCAATTTCCTTGCCTGATCTTTATCCAGAAATATCCCTTCCTACCCCTGGACAGCCCTCTGTTGCTGTTTTTTTTACAATTCTTCCTCATGTAATTTTGTGCAGGCCTAGGCATGCAGATTTTTTATTTGGCAAATAGTGAAGAAATAATTAGGTTTTGGTTTTAATAGCCAGTGTTATATCCAAACACAGCCACTGAATACATTACAAATGGCTGCTCCTGAATTCAGTCAACATTACTGACAACTGCCAAGCCAATGTTGACTGATTTCATCTCTCTGTTTGTTTTGGCAGGTTAAAATAGCCTTTAGTATAAAGCACTTCAATGAAGAAAAATACAGATACCCAGCTCCTCCTTTCAGTCATTCAGTTTTAATTCCAATGACATTACTCTTAGTTCTGCTTTCAGTAACTTTCTCAATTTCCACACACTCTACTTTTCTATCTATATTGTACAAGTGTTAAAGAACAACAACAACAACTTACCTTTAGAGCAGCTGGGAGGAATTTGTACAACTGCAGGTAAGGAGGGCTAACCTTGGCTTAGGTTGACTTTAGTTTATTGGGATTTGTAATTCTGTTGCTTTTCCTTCAAGAGAAGAAATTAAAGATGGCGGTGGGCAGTGTTATAGGTTATGGGAAATGGAGTAATTGAGGAGCTGCAATATATGGTGGATGGGCTGCATTTTACTTGGTGAGTTACCCTGCGGAGGCTTGTGGATGTTTTTCCCCTTAGCATAATGCTGCTGACATCAACAGTTAAATGTCACCGTACCATAAACTTTGATATATGTCCATGTAGCTTTTTTATGGTCAGATTTCAGGCTATTCCTTGGAAGAGGAGTAGATTTATTTCTTCACCAGTGAATCCTGTGACTATGAAACCAATCCAGCAGCTAGCTTTTCCTAGTGCTAAATGCCACTGCTACCTGTTTTCAATCAGAAGGAAAATAGTTTTATTTTACTTGGAAAGTACTCCAAAGCTATGGCCTGAGGAAGCCTGAGATGCTCATCAGAGGATGAGAAAACTGACCTCAAGAGACACGAAAGAGAAAGTGACCCTTTTTAATATATTGACACATCTGAAAATCTCTGGGCTCTGGTTCCATCGTTTTACACAAGAAAGATATATTCAGGGACAGCCAGGAATAGTTAAACTACTACTGTGGAAAGTGGCACCCTGTTGTCAAGACCCAGGATAGGGGAGAGGAGCTAGGGTAATAAGCTGTTGATAAATTGCCAGTGGTGAAGAAGGTGTTGATGGATAGCTTCCCCACTGCTTACGACAATTAGGAAGAAAGGTTAAGAGAAACTCAGGGCTGTTTCCAAAACAAGTTCTTAACAGAACCAGAAGCACAGAGCTAGCACTAGGCAGAAAGAATACCATAAAGAGATGTGTAAGTCCAGAGTCTATTGCAGAGGTCAGCTTACCTAAGCATCTCACATCAAGCTGAAAAAGCTTATTTTCACCCTCTGCTGTTTATGCTAAAGAGAAGAAACAAAAGCAGCAACAAATCCTTTGGGATGATTCTGTGGCTTTGTTAACACATAGACTTAATGTTTGTATGTCTGTCATTTGTTCAATAGTGTAAGGGGGGGGGGGAGAGAGAGAGAGACAAGGGGGAGGGGCACTTGCACCAGCCACAATCTAGATAGGGTGCAAAGTAGACCTTAAAGATCAGGAAACATTTTATTAAGAATGTAAGTGGTGCAAAAAACCCCCACAAAATCTTTGGTTTGGAAAATTAGATGTTTTGGTAAAGGCAACAATTCAGTTGGTTGGGCATGCAAACATAAGAGCAGTCCTGCTGGGTCAAGTCCATCTCCTCCAGCTTCGTGTTCTCATCATGGCCAAACCATAGGCTTCCAGGAAGCCTGCAAGCAGCGACTAAGCACAGCAACAACAGTTTCCCAGCAACATGCAGCATCTGACAGTGGAGGTGGGACATGGAGAGCAGCTGGACATCCAGAATAACACATTTGCAACTTTTCCTTGGTTCTGTCCTGCAACATCACCTAGTCAAACACATTCAACCACTTCATACCACTGGGGCTGATGCAACGGGGAGTGGAGAAGATAATCTTATGGTCAGGCAGTGGGTATTTTGTACCCCAACTTTTGAATAAATTCATGGTTGAGCAGTAAGCAGGAGGTGCAGCGAGGATGTGGAGTTTTAGCAGCAACACCTTTAAAAGATTCAGTGCCATTCTCACCCCAGATTGTATTACTTGCTCCCCAAAGGGGGCTAATCCAAGAGTAATGCTTGTTTTTGTTTGTTTAACTCCTATACTTATTATTGAGGGTAGGAAGTATCCAGACTTTCTGACCTGTGCCATTTATATGAGTTTACAGCAGTGGCCCTTCTCTAATTCTCTGGACTCGCTCTTAAATTTAATTCAGAGCATCAAGTGAAACCAGAAGGGTACTTTTGACGATTTCATAGAATCACTGCTTCTGTTTTTGTATGAAGTTGTGATTTATTATTCTGGCTTTTTGTCTTTGCTATATTTTGTATATGCTTGAAACTATTTATGGATTAAACCAATATCTGTAAGATTTGATTGACATACCAGATATGTTGTTGTCCTAGCAGCAATCTTCAAGGACTTTCATTGTTTGTGTGGACTAGGTTATAAGTGCTATTCAGGGACTACAATATACCTTTCTTACATGGATGACAATGATTTTTTGCAACTCTGTATGTTACAGAATTGATTGGATTATATTTATATAACTGTGTTTTTTCAGCTTTGTGATGATAAACTGCAGGTTAACTTGCTCTGTATGCAAAATGGGCTGGGTTCCTTTTATATATGATTTTAATAGAATTTAATAGTTTCTAGAGGCAAGAATTGCATGTACATTTTTGGGGTTAAAAACAATAACACTTCTGAACTCGTCTGATCTCTCTCTTGCTTGGAGTGATATAAGGGAGATGAAGTAAAGGTGCAGAACTCTCACTATTGCATCATTTATAACAATTAAACAGCATAAAAATTAAATAGGATCTGCTTTACATCAAGATGAATTAACCATCTAGCTCAATTTTAATGGGTCTGCTATTGATTTAAATGGGTCTACTATTGAGTATCTCTGGCTGTGCTAACTGGCAGCATGTTGTGGAATCTTAATTTTTTTCTGGCCCATCTATGTGAGATTGTGTTTAATGGAAAATACTGTACTGTGGTTTGAAGCTGGGACACTATTCTTATAAACCACATGCTCTGCCGCTGTGTTATGGTCCCACCATAACACCCAAAGCATCTATACTGCCAGTCCTTAAATGCCTCCTTTCTCTGTACTGTTAGTTCTGTTGGTCTCACAGAATAAGAAACATTTAAGTGAAACAAACACAAAAAAGCATGGGGCATGAATCTGCTTAACCATTGCTTTTACAAGTGTGCTGTGTATTAGTATGCACCTTAAAGCTGAAGGGTCTTGAAATATTCTCCTTTTATACTATTATGAATTTGGTCATGGTCATGGGCACTCTGGCAGAACACACAAAAGCAGCCAACAGGCCTCTTCTCATTGAAACCGACTCTGAACTTGCAACTTGGTTTTATTAGAAACATGAGAAGCTGTATTGTACCCAGTCAGGCCAGTGTTCAACTGAGTTCAGTACTGTCTACATGGATTGGCAGTGGGCTCAAGCACTGCCCAAAGAAAGTCTTCTGCAGCCCTACTGAAGATACCAGGGATTGAGATCTCTCCCCGTTTACATGCCAAGCATATGTTCCACCAGTGAGCTACATCCCTTCTGCTAGTGGTGTATAAGTATGGCAACTAACATTTAACCCACTGGTTTATTATATATGCTATAATCAACATCATTCTTGGAAATAGCTTTAAAGGTAGGTCTTCTATTTATACAAGTGGAAACAAGACCTTGTAACAGCTAATGGTTTGAGATATGGAAAAGAATTGTTTTATTGTGCACATCCAATAAAATAGTCAGGTCCTCTAGATAAAAAAAAGGGTCAAGAGCAATTAGCTTAAATGCTAGAACTGTTCTTTTTTTATTAATGTTTGCCTGAACCATTAGGCTTCATAAAAGGCTGCTTTTTCAATGCTGTTGTGATTGTGGATGTTGTGCATGCTACCATTTTACCTTTTAAAAAAATTAAACACATATAGCACTTCTTGCTTTAGCAACAACCAAAGCTGCAAGTTGTACAAATTCAAAACAGTTGCAAGGCATTTGTAGCATCTTGAGACATGTCCTAAATGGGGAGGTGACAACCTAATGACTTTGGGCCCTTTTGGAAGGAAGGGCAGGATCACTGAGCTCCATGAGATTGCAGTAAACCTAGTAATGCTCTCCCTGAAACAGGGAGTGCAAGTATTATTAAAACAATTGTTGTCCATCCAGGCCAGCTATGTGTTGGAAAGCATAGGATCAGATTATTGTTATTTATTTCATAGAATTGCAGAATTGAAAGGGATCCTAAGGGTTATCTAGTCGAATCCCCTCCAATGCAGAATCATACCTGACAAATGGCCACTCAACATCTGCTTAAAAACCTCGAAGGAAGGAGAGTTTTCCCTTGAGTACTAGAGACTAAGAGTGTCTTTGTAACATCTGTATTTACCAATAGGGACTGGGCCATGGTGGTGCTGTGGTCTAAACCAGTGGTTCTGAATTAGCTAATTACTGATGACCCCTTAGCTTTCAAAAGCCAAGTTATGGACCCCCTACTTTTAAAAAAATTGATAACTATGGTAGTTACCTGTGCAAAGCAAATTTTTGAAGAAAATGTGGGGCAGCCCCTAATAAGCAAATAATTTTAGGTATACTAAAAACAACAACACAAGGCCATAAAATTTGTGATCTTACTACAAATTGCCTATCCCCAGACAGTGGGTAAAACTTGTCTTTATTGCTCCACTACAACTGAATAATGGAATTGTGTCCCTAACTTGCTCGTTGACTCACAGTGCTCAAACCAGCCAGCTGGGGGTTCCCAAGTCCTCACTGGGTTCTTACCTTCACATAGCTGTCAACGTTTCCCTTTTTCAAAGGAAAATTCCCTTATTCCGAATAGGATTCCTCGCAAGAAAAGGGGGAAGTTGACAGCTATGTATCTTCAGCGTTAGCAATTACTGCTGCAGTACAATGTTACCCAGCCCGCCCTCGAGCTCTCCTTTACTCTCTTTCTCTTCTGCGCTGTACGCTAGTCTTGCTTTGTAACCCTGACGAGCCCGCCCTCGGCACGGAAGCCTGAAAGGCTGCTCCTGCCTGGACCATCCCAGCTCCACTTTGCAGAGGACCCGCAGCCCGCCTGAGAAAAGCGCCACGCTTAGCGCGTGCCCTCCGGGTGGCGCTCTAAACACCCAACGCCCGCCCTGCGCGGGGCTCCTCCTCCTTTACGTCGGAATCTTCTGCGCACGCGCAGCGCCTTTCCCACGCCCCTCCGCGCTCGCAGTGCGCACGCGTGGCCTCGCCGGGCTTTCCTACTGTCGTTTTGCGCCGGGCGGGCTGTCGAGCGTCTTCCTCTGTCCTCAGCCGGCGCCGCTCCCTCGCCCCTCGGCTTCCAGTCGCTGCCCTCCGGCGCCATGGTGCTCGACCTGGACCTCTTCCGCGCCGACAAAGGCGGAGACCCTGAGCTTGTGCGGGAGACGCAGCGGAAGCGCTTCAAGGACCCGGCGCTGGTGGACGCGCTGGTGGCCGCCGACGGGGCCTGGCGGAGATGTACGTGAGGCGAAGGGTGTGGGGGGGGGTCAGCGGGTGAGGTGTCGGATAAGGCTGTAGGGGTGTCGTTAGGAAAGGGGCAGAAGGGAAAGAGCGACGCCCCAGCAGGCAGCCTAAGGGGGCCTTTGCGACCCCGACACGTGTCTCCCCATCCTCACGTTCCTTCCTTGAACCTCTTTCACGCTGCCTCTGTGAGGAGCCGCGTTTGAACCCCTCGCCTCGGTGGCGTCCGGCGTGGGATGAGGGGTGAGGCCCGTGAGAAAAAAGGGGCTCCCCACGGCCGTCTCTTCCCTCCACGCCGTCGTGTGAATGGGCGCACAGACCTCTCTTTCTCTCTCACTCCCCCCCCCAGCCATGAGGTCCAACGGGGAAAGATGACCCTGCGGCCAACTGGGGGGGGGGCGTCTTTGCAGCTGCTGCTGCTGCTTTATTTCTAGGCCCCGGTCGAAGGGCAGGTTTGGAGTGGCTCTTTTGAGCCATCGGGGGGAAGTCATCCCTTCAGAGGGCTTCAGGGCGCTCCCATCTGTCTTCTGGACAACCCCCCCCCCCAAAAAAAAAAACGTGTAGGGTGTTGTTGTTTTAATTGTATTTCCCAATTAGGGTTTTCCTCTTCTCTTCGCCGTCCTCTCTGGTGTTTCACAGCTGCATTGCCCTTTAAATGGACGGGCTTGCGATTTGGCAGGATGCTGTTCAGGCATTGGTGCTGCCTAGTCTGATGCAATCCTGCTGTAACCAGCATCATAGAAAGTGACTCTGGCACGCTAGAGCTCATATCAGCCGCAGCACTGCTTCATTTTCTGTGTGCATGTTTCCTTGCCAGCGATTTTGATAACTTGTGTTAAATGCTTTTTACATTGTGCTTTACATTGTGACAAAGCATTGGTAATATTGCCTGCGGTGAAAGATGTGTTTTATTACCTCTAACCAGAAAATGAGGGGGGAAATGGAATGGGCCTGTCACGTCAGGTGCCTGAGACCACTGCTACTCATTTAGAGTCAGATGGAGGTTCACTATATGATCCTATGCCCCAAATCATCTCTCCTAGACTTCATTTTCAATATCTCCAGTATGCGGGTGGTGAAGAGTCTATGAAATGATATAGAATTCAAATTGTAATACAATAAAATACAAGATATAATAAAGAAGCCATCATTATAGAATTAAAAGTTATACAGCATCTATCAGAGTGTGTTTAAGTTGCTGTAATGAGCAGAAAAATCATTAAGTGATTTGCCAAGACCTTTAACAGTTTTCAAGTAAAGCATTGCCATCAAGTACAGCGTTGCCTGCTGTCTGTATATGGAAATTCTGGAAGTAGGATGAGCAATACTTTGAAATATATATATCCAGCAACAATAACAACTAAAATAAATATGAGATATTCAATTTACTCTAAACTTCATTTTACTGTACCATGCAAAAATCATAATGAGTGTTCAGAATCGGAAGCTGCTTCCTTTGGTAGTGGGAGTGTTCTGTATTTGCAGGCCTCTGAAATGCATCTTCTTGATGACATTAAATAAGTAAAAGTACCCTATATGCCATCACTTCCCATAATACTTTACAAACTACTATCCTTTCTTAGAGGTTATCTGGGTATTGTAACTTTTGCGCAGTATCATGCATAATATAAGAAAAAAACTTCAGTTTAACAGAATGAATGTATTTTAATCTGTGCTACACCCATAGTAGCAGCAGCAGCCACCAGATAGTTCAATAGACTTATGATTTTGTGTAGAAACTTATCCTTTAAATGTAGACGCCTCTTAGCATTTTTTCAAATGTTTTCCTTCCAGGCAGATTCCGTGCAGACAATCTGAACAAACTGAAGAACCTTTGCAGCAAAACTATAGGCGAGAAAATGAAGGTGCGATTTATTGGAATCACAGCTTCTGATTGGTTATCAAAGCCACTATGATGTATGCCATTATGTTTTGTGATTAACTGTGCTAGAAAAGATGTAGAGTTCAATCAGTGGCATGAAAAATGTCATTAGGGAAATAGATGACTTGACAGATTGGGAGCTGTCCAGAAGAAAAGTGGTATGTCTGAGAGGATGATGATGAGGCAGCATGCTCAACTATACTATTAATTTTAATATTACAGAACACTAAAACACAAAGAAGCTGTCAAGCTGAATTGAGCCCACTATCATCTTAGGATCACAGTCTGAGTCCCTCCCACCAAGCAATGAGATAGAATCACTTAGAACTGGGTGAGGGGAAAGCAAGTTTTATTTATTGACTGGCCTTTCAAATTGCCTTTCATACACAGAATCTGAGGAGAGTGTACAAAACATATAAAAATACAATAAAATGACAAACCTATGGGCCCTCAGTAGCAGTTGTAAAATACAGATACTAAGACTTTAATCCTTGCAGCTAAATCCGTGAGAAAAGAATTGCATTTAAGTAAAGAGTGGGATAACATTGCCTCTAATGAGAGGGAGTTCCACAAATGGGCATGTAATGATAGTGAGGGCCCACACGTGTTGGCAGGATCAGGAGACAGGCCTTCTCTTTTAGTATCTCCAAATTATTAATTTAACACTTCTGAAAGAGTGCTGTTTCAGTTATTTTTCCAATTGATACTGTGTTGAAAAAATAAAGGGTGATACCAGATCTGTTTCTTTACTGCAGGGGTGGCTACCCTCTTCTGCTCAAAGGCTGCATTGCCTTTTGAGCATGCCTGCAAGGTCAGCATGGCCAAAGTAAAAGTGGGTGTGGGTAAAATGGACATGTACACCATCATCCTTGCACAGGCATGCAGGACACGCATACGCCACACACAGAGACCAATAACATCCATTGGAACTCTTTATTTCCTCCCCCATCCTCTCTCCAGTTTTACTCTTCAAGCTTGCAGGGCTTTAGAATGGAAATGATGGCATCAGAGGCTGCCTCTACACAAAGTCCTTTGCACTGCCATGAAGAGCAGATTGTAATATTCCACCTGTTTCAGAGCACTCTGATGGTGGCAAAAATGGAATTGTGTATATGAAGGAGGGCTTCCTTGCACAGAGCCCTTAGTTTAGTCATGACCAAGTGGAACTTTGAAGGGGTCATTCTGTTCTCCTCACCCACATTAGAGCACTCCAGGAATTGCTGAGAGAGAACATGGCAATGATATGTATGATGGATATTTTATAATATTTACGAAGAAATGGAAACCAGTGATCTAGGCAGGTTGTCCTTCAAGCTGCATTTGTATAATATTTTTGTTCTACCGCTTTTTTATTTGCCAATTGATTGCTTTTTTTATTTTTCTACATATATAGAAAAAAGAGCCAGTAGGAAATGATGACCACATACCAGAAAATGCACAAAATCTTGATGAACTTACAGCAGACATCTTAGCAGTAAGTTATTTTCAACTAGTTTCTTACTTGACCATTCACTGGTTTACAGTGTATTGTATTTGTGAAATATACTCTGGTGTTTGCTTTTCCCCTCACACATTTCACTTGTGCAGCTTCAGATTGGGTGAGGAGCGTGTGTGAACGAGAAAGCATTCTGATTCTTTTTGTTCCCTTGCACTATATTAATTGTTCAGTTACCCACTGGTCTCTAATGTTGGAGCTGTGGTAATTCTCTCCCTATGCAGGCTTGTTGTTGTTGTTGTTTAGTCGTTTAGTCGTGTCCGACTCTTCGTGACCCCATGGACCAGAGCACGCCAGAGCACTAGGCTAGCCTATGCAGTATGCAGGCTAGCTAGTAGTTTTTAAAGTGTGTTTTTTCACCTCTCTTATACCCTGAGCTGAAATACAATTTTGGGGGAGGGGTGGATCTATAATTTGCCCCTCACTCTGCTAGTTCATCCTTTTCTCATGGGCAAGAGAACTGCGAGGCTTGCCTGTTGTCCACTGCTCAGTCAAGCGGCTATGGATGCTGAGGTTTAGGAAGCTCCTCATCTCCCCTTCCTGCTGTAGAACAGAGGGAGTGGCATGGCTGGTTCAGCTCTGTGTGGACCATTTGGCTTGGCAGCATTGGAGCCAAACTATTCCCAGCGTTCCTCCAAGTCTTGGAGCTAAGGAAGGGGTGGATTTGCTGCATAACTGCTGGGATGACCCTCACATGTCAACCTGGGAATAAATCTCGGGTCACTATACTTGCCAACAGTGACGGCTAATTTACCCCAGCATAGTGAGTGAAAATGTAGGAGCCTATGTTAGAGTAAGGACCAAACTAGATAAGATGTCAGGAGATCTGCAGTCGGGTCTCCTGATGCATTTTTTTGATGCCTGTGATTCCTGTGGAAGGAATTTGATTGTGGAAACAATGCTAAAGGAAATTGTTTAACCATTTCCCTCTGCACCATTTCCTAACTAAATTCTCGCTCTCCTCCCCAAAGCTCCTATTTGCCCCAGGATGGAAAGTATATAGGTTCCCTGTATGAGTGTATGTACATACACCAGGAGCTTTGAATCTGTAGGAAAAAAGATAAAGAATTTTGGTTTTATTAATTGGCCTAGAAAAGTTTGTATTGAAGAAAGCTATATTGAAGAATAACAAATTATTTATTCAGGACAGTTGTTTGCAATTGTAGTTTAAAGAGAAGTATTGTGTCTTCCTTATGTTGTCTAGGATTTGGCCCATTAAGGTTTTATTATGTATCAGAATGTTTGTATAGATGATAATTACGTTGTAATAAATAAGTTTATAATAAAAAATTGAGGATTTTTGGAACATACTTATTCCTTAACTTTGTTTCTGACTGATTGAGGACTGAATCCGTTGTGTATACTATACTTCTGCTTCCATATATAGCCAGACACATTTTGTTGAACTGTTAACCTGTATTCAGTACAGTTGTTATGCTGGTGGTCCAGAGAAACCTAAAAATGTTTTTTTGGGTGCCTCAAATTAATTCTAAAATAACATTGGGAAGATTTTGGATTATATTCGACTGTCATGTGAAAAGCACTTAAAGTGTGAGCACTGAGCTAAAAACAAAGTCCTCTTATGCTACTGAAACAATTTATAGTGGGGTGACTTTGGGCCACCACTATCTCACAGTATAACCTACTTCATAGGGTTGTTTTGAATATAAAATGGTGAAGGAGAAACATGTACACCACCTGCTGGTCCTTAGAGAAAAGCTTGATATAAGTGTAACAATATTTTTTTAAAGGATGTGTGTTTACTATCAAGCAATAGATCATCACAGAGATTTCATACTTGCTATTGTCCCAGCAGCAGCTGCTTCTCTGGGTGTAGAATAAGCCAATGCAGTGATTCAGTAGGAAGCTCAGCTTGTACTGTCTGTGCAGCTGTAGTTAAAAAAGAATAAGAAGCTAAGCCTCCTGCCTTGCACAATCATTTGTCCAGGCACCAGCTGCTGGGCATACATCTTCTGCCATTTTGATAACTCCACAAGTCACAGAATTTCTCCCTCACACTGCAGCCTTGCAGCTGCTACTACAGATACTATAAAAGCTGTATATCCGACAGCAGTTAATTTACCATCTATTGTATGTTCAGCTCTACTATACTGTGATAGCGGACCTCTGCCCTAGAACTTGCTTCCTCATTTTATTCCTTTCAGTGACAAGCCAAAGTATTTTATACCTCTGGTTTTTTTATAGGGTTGTTGTTTTGGATTGTTGTTTTTCTGCTGATATTTGTTGGTTACGTTATTTTAATTATTGCTTTATTTTGCGTTTGACTAGTAAGCACCCTGACAATAGGAATAAAATGTGTTGGTAGAGGATTTTAATAAGTAAACTATTTGCCATGCTTCTTGTTGCTTTACTCATTTTGCCATAAAAGCAGAAAAATTGTGAAGAAGATAGGTAGAGGGCTTCGTATGCCAACTGGCACCTTTTGTTAGCAAGCACACTCTGAAGTGAGAAAGATCCTATACAGTGGTGCCTCGCAAGACGAAATTAATTCGTTCCGCAAGTTTTTTCTTCTTGCGAGTTTTTCGTCTTGCGAAGCACGGTTTCCCATAGGAATGCTTTGAAAATCAATCAATGCGTTCCTATGGAAACCGCCTTCAGACCAGGTCCGGGGACAGTCTGTCCCCCGACCTCTTCTGAAGGCTGCGGGGGGGATAAGGGCTTTTCTTCCCACCCCCAGCATTTTAAAAACCCCCGGGACAGCGGAGACTTCTCCGCTGTCCGGGGCGATTTTAAAATGCTGGCGGGCGGCAGCGAAGCCTTCGCTGCCACCCGCTAGCATTTTAAAATCGCCCCGGGACAGCGGAGGACTTCTCTGCTGTCCCGGGGTGATTTAAAAGCCCCCTGGGCAGGCAGGCAGGCAGGCAGGCAGGGGGGAGCAAAGACTTTTGCCCCCCGCCGGCCTTCAGAAGAGGTCAAGTCCGGCGGGGGGCAAAAGTCTTTGCTCCCCCCCGCCTGCCTTCAAAAGCCGTCCGGGATAGCGGAGAAAAAAACTTCTCCGCTGTCCCGGGGCGATTTAAAAGCCCCCGGGAAGGCAGGCAGGGGGGAGCAAAGACTTTCGCCCCCCGCCGGCCTTCAGAAGAGGTCCTGGACCTCTTCTGAAGGGCGGCGGGGGGCGAAAGTCTTTGCTCCCCCCCACCTGCCTTCAAAAGCCGTCTGGGATAGCGGAGAAACGTGCTGCATTTCTCCGCTATCCCGGGAAGGCAGGCAGGGGGGAGCAAAGACTTTTGCCCCCCGCCGGCCTTCAGAAGATAGCTTCCCTGCTATCCCGGACCGCTTTTAAAATGCTGGCGGTGGGGAGCAAAGCCTTTCGGCCCCCGCCGGCCTTCCTGGACCTCTTCTGAAGGCCGGAGGGGGGGAAAGGCTTTGCTCCCCACCGCCAGCATTTAAAAGAGGTCCTCGGAGATTTCCCTATGGGCTTTTTTCTTGCGAAGCAAGCCCATAGGGAAATTCGTCTTGCGAAGCAACTCGCAAACGGAAAACCCTTTCGTCTTGCGGGTTTTCCGTCTTGCGAGGCATTCGTCTTGCGGGGCACCACTGTATATACTAATAGCAAACATGCTTTCTGAGTGTAGGTACTTATACATCCAAAACAGCATTGTCCATGCACAAGAGAGAAGCACCAGCAGGCTTTGGAAAAACACCAAGGTTTCCAGATGTCTCAGAAAGTGAGGGCATGGCAGGACGGGATGTATGGGAAGGAACCCCAGAGCATCCCAGTGAGGACCAAGCTTGTTCAGTGGGCACAAAATGCTGACGGTAAGCAGGGTGGCGGTGGAATGGAGTATCTTGGAAAAAGAGATGGCTGGCTTGCTGTGGTCCTGAACAGAAGCCCTCCACCGTATGGTATTTTATTGCAGAGCCCAATCTTCTGCTATGATAATAAAAACTGAGCAGTAGCACAAAGCATTCTTGCACAGGGATACTGTGCTGACATGAGTTTTGGATCAGAAACTTCATCAACCAAACATTGTCTTGTCCTTTGGCCCCCAATTGTGCCACTCTAAGACTTAAATGTCTGTAATGCATAATGCAAAGCTAGTCCTTGATGAGGCTTTCCATGTGTGAGCCAAAGATCTTATCTGAGCTTCTGCTGGTAGTAAACCAGGTATTGCCTTTTACCCTGAGTTCCATAGAACCAACATTGGTTCTTGGTGATGCTAGACCACTGGCTGAAATGTGAAACTGAAGTTGATAAAATTAGGGTTTCCCCAAAATGGATGTGTTTATTTTCACAAGATATTATTCTTTTCTTATATTAGGCCCACTTTTGTGTTTCAGGGTCTTCAAGTAAGCCAAATAAAGAAAGTTCGTCTTCTAATTGATGAAGCAATACTGAACTGTGACGAAGAGCGCTTGAAGCTGGAGGCAGAGCGGTTTGAAAACCTCAGAGAAATTGGAAATCTCCTTCATCCCTCTGTGCCAATCAGTAATGATGAGGTAGGAGCAAATTCCACACTTTTATATAAATGTGCATGAGAGACTGTGTGTGGTTTGGTTGTCACAGCCTTGTGCATCACTATTAAACTGTCCTGCTGGTAGGGTGAGGAGACGGCAACCTGAAGGTATAAAATCCTGAGGGTGCGAGACAGTAAATCCTAGGTGAGGAGGTTGAGAAGTTTATGCAATTTGTATTCTAAAACAGTTTTCCCCATAGAAAAGAAAGTCACAAATGGGGGAAAAAATCCCAAATTAGCACAAAACCCTGATCTTGTTTAGGAAATGTATGGGAAACAGACTTAGGCTGGAATTCAACATCATGGTATTCCAAATGTCGCATCTGTCCAAGCATATCAACCTGCCAGGTGGAACAGTCTCCCCTCCCCCGTGTGCTATTCTGGTGGTTCTCCTGACACCCATCCACCCCCTGAGACAATTTCGGGGGGTGCAGGTCTCATGCAACAGGAAGGCCCATTGTGCAAGTGAAAGTCCCTGCCTTGGGCTTCCACTGACAGGGCCCCTTCGGTGAATCCTACCCATGATGTGTGGCTTGGAACCAACCATTTGTCCAACAAGACAATTTTTTGTTTAATAATACTATTAAGCGAGTCTGATATAATACTGGGCTGGTTGGATTTTGCATTGGAATAATTGCTTAAGAATGTTGCTATGGAGACGTCATACTCATTCCAGTTGTTGGCAAGTAGTAATTTTGAAAGCACTTAAGAGAGTTGCTGGGTGCTTCTGTGACAGCCCTGCAGGAGACTAAAAGACCATCAGATCTATTCCTTGCTTCCTCTGCATGTCAGCCCCTTCTCCAGGGCAGAGCAAACCCACACACCACCTTCTCTTCAATCAGCCTATAGGATACACATGGCAGCATGTCAGAAGTAGAGAGCAAATGCAGTGCAGGAGGCTTCTGGCAATTGTAAGTGCTACTGTGCAAGCAAATACCAGCCAGGACTGTGCATATGAACACACACAATTAAATCATGGATGAGATAATCGGCTTGGATTGATATTGTTTCTATTGGGATGTTCAAAGGCCTAGAACAAAACTTTCTCCCTTTTTATCACATGGGTAGGATGCAGATAACAAAGTGGAGAGGCTATGGGGAGACTGCACAGTGAGGAAAAAGTATTCTCATGTGGACTTGGTTGTCATGGTGGATGGCTATGAGGGAGAAAAGGGAGCCATTGTTGCTGGAAGCAGAGGATACTTTCTAAAGGTGAGAACTCAACTTCTTAATCATTGCTATTTATAGGACTGGGAGAATTGGGATCCCAGAAGAAAATTTACTCATTTTGAAAGTTGTACCTTGCTTTTCAAAGCCAAAACACCACCTTCACAAAGTGGTTTGTTTAATATCTAAGCTGTAGAAGACTGTCAGAATGCAACGTTCCAGCCAGTGCCGTTTCAAAATGTGGGTTCTCGGGAGCAGAATATTCACTTACCTACTTTCTTCTTTGTTGTTCTATAGGGTGCCCTGGTTTTTCTAGAGCAAGCTCTCATCCAGTATGCCCTGCAGACGCTGCTTAGCAAAGGTTACACCCCTGTTTATACCCCTTTTTTCATGAGAAAAGAGGTGATGCAGGAAGTGGCCCAGCTAAGCCAGTTTGATGAAGAGCTCTACAAGGTAAGGTGGGAAGGGTAAAATTACTGTTTTAGTAGCAAACTATATAAGCTTTTAGGGACGTGGGTGGCGCTGTGGGTTAAACCACAGAGCCTAGGGCTTGCCAATCAGAAGGTCGGCGGTTTGAATCCCCGCGACGGGGTGAGCTCCCGTTGCTCGGTCCCTGCTCCTGCCAACCTCGCAGTTCGAAAGCACGTCAAAGTGCAAGTAGATAAATAGGTGCCGCTCCAGCCGGAAGGTAAACGGCATTTCCGTGCGCTGCTCTGGTTCGCCAGAAGCGGCTTAGTCATGCTGGCCACATGACCCGGAAGCTGTATGCCAGCTCCCTCGGCCAATAAAGCGAGATGAGCGCCGCAACCCCAGAGTCTGCCATGACTGGACCTAATGGTCAGGGGTTCCTTTACCTTTTATATAAGCTTCTAGAAAAGTTTTGTGTTGCTTCCCTTAATGTGTAATCACATTGTCCCTGGAGCCATGTGGAATTTTTCAAGTACTACTGGCAAACTTTCAGTCAGATAATTGACTATTTCAATATTTGTCCTTCATTTCAAATTGCTGCACTCTTCTTTAGGAAGCATTTCTATCATCAGCCACAGTCAGTGCTAATAATTTATGATAATGAAAAGGAATGTTGGGTTGATAGGTTAAAGGTTTTATTAACATTGTTTCTAATCATCACAGGCATTGTGCCATGTCTTCCCCATTTTCTGATCCACAAGTACTTAACTGTTTGTCATTGGGGGTCAGAATGGTTAGAAATGTTTTCATATGAAAGGTAATTAATGTAGCTAAGTTGTAGCTAAGCAACAACTTAGAAAAACAATTCATAGAAGAAATTATATGATTCAGTGAACCAGTAATTTAGCCCACAAGGGCTTTCATTGGAATGGTCCCCTGAAGCTTTGTCTATGTACATGACATCTTGCTGCACTGGTCTAATTGACTAACATTTTCTACTTCTCAGGTACTTGGCAAAGGCAGTGAGAAGAGCGATGATAACACTATTGATGAGAAATACCTGATTGCTACATCTGAACAGCCAATTGCAGCATTGCACAGGGATGAATGGCTTAAGCCAGAGGACCTGCCCATCAAATACGCTGGGCTGTCTACCTGCTTCCGCCAGGAAGTTGGTTCACATGGCCGTGATACCAGAGGCATTTTCCGTGTGCACCAATTTGAAAAGGTATTGCAGTTGCAAAAGTTATTAATCCAGGGTTGTATTAGTCATTTCACAAACGAGACAATTTCTGTTCACACAACAGAACTTCCCCTTCTTCTCTTCCTCCCCCAACCCCCGCTCCCCTCCAGATCAGATTTGAGGGTGGGGAAGGAGAAGGAAGGAAAGTTAAGTTGCCTGATCAGAAGTTGTTCCACTCACACAATGACTTCGCTTGAGTCAATCCCCAGATAGTGTGTGTTTTTCAGCGATGTGCCGTTGAAGAAGTTTGCATTGTTGAAATATTTTGGGCAATTGAAATGAAATTGGTGTTCATTGGTTTATGTTTGGTAACTGAAAGTTGTGTTTGGTTGCATTAGGCTGTTGAGTTACATTCACCTCCATTTTATGATTGTGTTCAGTTTTATTTCATTGTTTTTTCTTGGTAAGGATATCTTTAGTAAAATTTGCAGCCCCCCCCCCGACTTTTCATGCTGTCAAAAGCTTGGGAATCCAGTGTTGTTCCCAAAGGAACTGATTTTAGGGGTTGATGTTAAGTCACAGAAGTCACAGAACAGTATAATTATTATATTCTGGGATTCAAATTCCTCTTCGTGTCTATGAAAGATTGCTACTCTTTTGTTTTTTGTTTCCTGCTCTTAACTTTCTGCTTTTGACCCTTTCCAGATTGAGCAATTTGTCTACGCATCACCTCATGATAACAAGTCTTGGGAGATGTTTGATGAGATGATTGCAACTGCTGAAGAGTTCTATCAATCTCTGGGCATCCCTTACCATATTGTGAATATTGTCTCAGGTTTGTATATACCCCCCAAATAATTTGCAGTGTTCATTGTGGCCTGCACCCTAGAAAGTGTGCACACAATTGCACCTGACAGCCAGTAATCTCTGGTCGTTTGTATCAGGATTTATTTGCTCTAACTGTAAGACCTGTAGTATCTCCGCATGCAGCCATGTACTCATGTTTATTGTCCAGACTAACACACATTCTAATTGAGGAAAATGACCATAGATCTCCTTGTTACTCTTGGTTTCATTCTGTATCTCCAAAACTATGAGAGGGGTGAGAAAGGCACATCTTTCATTTCGCATTATTAGAACACTGAATCAGTACCTAAATGCCACCTCATGTTGTTACAGGTTCCTTGAATCATGCTGCCAGTAAGAAGTTGGACTTGGAGGCATGGTTCCCAGGTTCAGGAGCTTTCCGTGAACTTGTTTCTTGCTCGAACTGCACTGACTACCAGGCACGTCGACTGCGGATCCGTTATGGACAAACTAAGAAGATGATGGACAAAGTAGGCTGCTTTGTATATTTTACACATACAATTCTCCCAGTGCATCATTTACAATATACTGGTGTTCTAGTAGTTAAATAATGATTTGGGTTCTTAAGAAGGTGCTGCTATTTACCCACTGTAGACTTCAGGAAAACATCTGCCTTTTTGCTTTAGTCTGATATGTTTTTTCTATTCACCATCTGAGTTGATTGTCCCAATAGGTTGCAACTTTGAGTCCTTGCTAGGGAGACAAGTTGGCAGTGATGTTGATTCTGGAGATCTAACAAAAATTGGAAAGGCCCTGATAATTTCCATAATTTCCCATAAAGATCCAGAATTTCTGCCTGTCATTTTGTCTCACTACTTCTTCTGTGATGCTGCCATGGAAGTGACCAGTTTGAGAATGGTCCACTTGCCAGTTGAGAATTACTGACTGCTGCCAAGGAGCCCTAGGATTGCTTTCTTGAAAAAAGTAAAAAATTTAATCCCTTAAAATTACGAAGAGTGTAGAAATGGAAACCTGAAGAATGAATAATCATTGGGCTTTCCTTTTCTTTTTTAGATTTTTTTTTAAATTTGAAAGACAGAGGTTGTATCCAGTGAAGTCAAACAACCCCTAATAGTTACTTGGTGTTCAGATATTGGACATTAGTAAACAAACCCACATTCGTACAAACACATTTAAAGGCAAAGCTCAGTTATTTTCATTCTCACAATTATCACAGAAAAGGAGGATGTTATCTAGTTCAACTAACAGTGCAATCTACCTTGCTGCTTCTAAAATGTTTAGATAAGGAAGTCTGTTGCAGAGTGATTGGTTAAGCTAGAAAATGTTAGTTGTAGTGTCCCTAAATTGGAACAACTCTTTATTAGACTGAAGGCTGTGCCTTTTCAGATGACTGAGTAACAGAATGACAGATTAGGTTTATTGGAATGGTTATTTTGGAGATGGTATTTATCCTCTTCAAAAATGTGTTTTTGTGCTGCTGCTTTTACTTGCTGGAGAATACTAAGAACATGAAATGTTCTGCCCTCAAAGGTGGAGTTTGTGCATATGCTCAATGCCACAATGTGTGCTACAACACGTGCTATATGTGCCATCCTTGAGAATTACCAGACAGAGGAAGGAATCATTGTACCAGAGAAATTAAGGGACTTCATGCCACCAGGTAATAAAAGGAAAATGCTTGTTGCCCTCTTCCTCCCCATAGCTATCCATAATTGTGTATTTTATACCTTCTAATTGTCCTTATTGTCTGAGCCTAACAACTCTCCTCAACTCATAAAATAATTGTGACAATTTCCTCCTGTCTAAAGGGTTATATCACGTATGACTTGCATTGTTTTTTCTCTTGACACTAAACAGAGAATTCCTTACAGTTGCTATTTTTACTGACACATGACATTTCAAAAGTTCTGTCATACTTATTTTGAGTGCTAGCTTTGTGCCCAAGAGCATCACCACCAGTTTAGGAGCAGTATGTAAGAGGATGCAGGTGGGTCTCTCTGGTCCTTGGCTGGAAAAGGGTGGGTAAGCTCAGGTGTGCTGTCCCTAACACCTGCCTACTTGACTTTGTTCAAGGACATGGGGTAAATTAATCAAGGTGACTTGGTGTGTAAGATTGGTGTGATGTGTGAGAACAGAAGGGGAGGATTCTTGTTGATACTTCCTTTGTAGAAGTGTTCACTCTGTTATCTTGCTCTGCCTTCTTCCTCCTTTTAGGCCTGAAAGAAATGATAAAATTTGTAAAACCTGCTCCTATTGATCAGGAACTTTCCAAGAAGCAGAAGAAACAGCATGAGGGGAGCAAAAAGAAATCGGCTGGTGGGGACTGTGCACTGGAAGGAAAGATGCAGAACATGGATGTGAACAGTCCCTAAAAGGGATCTATCTATGTGTCACTTTTTCTGAGATTGCACAGTTTAGTGCATAAAGCTGCAGGGGGTGCTGGATATGAATTCCTGCTTTGTCTCATCCCTCTTGTCACCATGGGCAAGTTACTTTTTTCCATCTCGGCTTCCACCCTCCGTAGCCTGGGAAGATGTTCCTTCCCATGCTGGCTCTGAGGATCCACTGGTGTTTGTTTTCACATTGAATGTGGAAAGCACTAGAGGTGCTGACCAGTTCCCCAGAAGTCTGTATGTCTTACATTATGTTAATTATCCATGGAAACAGTTTCTATTCAAACCCCTAGTTGCAAATCCAAGCAGAGGGAACAAACTGCTATATCATGTTTATTTGCTGAAAATCTCTGCTGAGCAGAAGCAACACTGGGATAAAGCAAAGATCAAAAGGGAAAATAAGTATAGGCATGTGGCGTTTTACTGTAAAGACAGTCTTTGCATAGTCATAGGATTTTACCTGATATGGTGGCACTCAGTGAATAAAGCAAGCATTGAAAAAAAATGATGCTTTTCTCAGTTTTATTTTATGACTTCTGTATTTCTTGGATTCCTTTAACAACATTACTTGTATCTGCTCACATATGAAGCGGACTGTTTTACACAGATGTGTAAGTGGCCATAGTTTGCAGATATGAAATGCAGGTTAATAGAACCCAACTTTTTGTTTTGTGTAAGTACTGGCCTATTAGCTGTATGCCTTCAAATACATTTGTGCAGTACTTCCATGTCAGCATAATAACTTGGCCAGTATCTTCCATTTACCTCAGTTATCTGTAATTTTCTGGATATTTAATTCATTCAAATTGTAATATTTAATATTATCTGTGGAATTTGCATAGCAAAAAGGAGTCCCATATCAGATGAAAGACAGAAATTGAGAGTGCATGTCACCAAGCTTTTAGCACCCCAGGATGCAATTAATCTGGTCCTAAAGACTTGAACTCATCTAACATAGATGAGTATTTCCTGGCCAGCTCCTTATCAATCTGGAATTTCAATCCTACCCTCTTAACTGTTCAGGTTACCTATATGAGATTGCACAGGGTTCCTCTTTGGAGAGAAGACACAAAGGTAAATAGGAGTTGAGCAATTAGCTGACACTAAGCAGTTGTCTGAAGAAGGTGGAATGTCCAGGAATCTTCCATTCATATCAGAGGTGAAGAAACAGCATTTTACAAGCTTCAAACAGCAATTTCCTTGCTGGGAAAATTTCCTACCTTTTCCAAACTTCCATTCCTTTTTGATGTGTCTTTGAGTTGTGTTGACCTATCCATATCTGACATCACTGGTGACCAACAAAACACTCCTTCCACTCCAGTGCACTTAAAAAAATCATCAAGGATTTTCTTTCCTTTAATGTAGCCTTTTCAATAATCTGAAGGAAGTTATCAGATCAACAGTAGGAGGGACCTTTTAAGCTACCCAGGGGAAATTTGGTCCATTAATCCAATTACATCTACTCTGAGTATCTGAAGAAGTATCTGAAGAAGTGTGCATGCACACAAAAGCTTATACCCAGAACAAACTTAGTTGATCTCGTAAGGTGCTACTGGACAATTTTTTTCGACTGCATCAGACCAACACAGCTACCTACCTGAGCAGAACATCGTTGGAGACAACCCATGTCTTTTTAGGCAAGAGGCTGCAAAAGGGCCAGAATTTTCCCCTATAAGTAAGTTTGAGAGGCATGCTTTCGTCTTACCAGCTGGTGGCAGTAGAGACACCATTTCTCCATCATTTGTGCTTTCCCTTTCATTACAAAAGGCAAAGAAATCCCTGTTGGTTGATAAGGAGGGGAAACCTTGAGTCAGACAATTATGTTTATCAGGACCAACCAGTATGCCACAATATAGCTAGCTTTCCAATAACTCTCTATTAGACAAGCTGTTAAACGCGTGCAGTGGGAGGGGAAAGGGTACCCCTGATTGATGTTGTACCCACAAAGTCTGCATTTAGTCATGGTCTTAAGATTAAGGTAAGAGGAAATACCAAAGCTGCAGTTTACTTGCTAAGTCCAACTTCATTCAGTAGGATTTCCTCCCAGGTAAATCAGTGTAGGATGCAGCCTGTTTGTGCCTAATCGTGCTGCTGATGAGCAGAAAAAATACAGTTTCTTGAATAGTTTCCTAGATTGAAAGAACAGAACAGAAATAGTGGAATTCATAGAATCTTAGAGTTGGAAGGTGTCCCAAGAGTCATTTAGTCCAACTCCCTGCAATGCAGAAATCTCAACTAAAGCACCCATGACAAGTTGCCATCCAGCCTTTGCTTCAAAACCTCCAAGGAAGGAGAGTCCACAACTTCCTGAGGGGGACTGTTCCACTGTCAAACAGCTCTTAACTGGCAGAAAGTTTTCCCTGATTTTTAGTTGGAATCTCCTCTCTTGTAACTTGAATCCATTGGTTTGAGTCCTGTCCTCCAAAGCAGGAGAACACAAACTTGTTCCCTCTTCCATATGACAGCCCTCAAGATGGCTATAGATGTTGGGAAAGATGGAGGGCACAAGGAGAAGGGGACGACAGAGGATGAGATGGTTGGACAGTGTTCTCGAAGCTACCAGCATGAGTTTGACCAAACTGCGGGAGGCAGTGGAAGACAGGAGTGCCTGGCGTGCTCTGGTCCATGGGGTCACGAAGAGTCGGACACGACTAAACGACTAAACAACAACAACAATAGCAAAAGATCCCATTTCAGCAAATAAATTTAGCTGGAGAAGTGCAGCAGTTTTCCAGGCACAGTAGCATGCCAGGTATATATGTTTGTATAATAACGCCTCTAAGGTAAGCGAGAGGTAGAGTGGAGCCTCTCTTGCGTGGGTTTATATGAAAGAATGGATAGTATATTTGACTGCAGTTAGTGAACGGAGTGCTGCAGTGTTGCTCAACAGCAATATGAAATAGTTTGTGAATTTGCAAAGAGCTCTATAGCAGAGATTGCTATACGCATATATGAGAGCGATTATAGTGCCTCATTGTGCCTATATTTATACCCAGCCTTTCTGGTTTTTCACCCTGGCTTATTATGATGTTTTATGGCGTTTCTTGCTGTAGTTGCTTCATACTGTTTTATTGTTGGCTTTTTTTATATATATATACTGCTGATTTTATTGTGTTTCACTACATGCATAAGCTGTCACGAACTATATAAGGAAAGGTGGGGGTGAATATTTTGAATAGCACTCACTATTTCTACTTTCTGGAAACAAACCAAAGACGTTTTTGTTTTGAGAAGCCTTTTCAGCTGGATGAATTTTCTTTTTCTTTTTTAAAAGATACCTGTTAGAGCACTACTCTAAAACTGAATGTCCCCTTCTGCCATAGCTCCTACCCTCTGGGTACTTACAACTCTGCATTTGTTGCCTTACACCACAAGCAAGAAACTTGAAGTGAATTTGGATTACGGGTTACAATGGTGTGTCATTTTCTCATTATGTAAATATTTCCGGCTCCTCTACCTGGTTCGTATTTACCTGGGAAAGCCTCCTAAACAAATCTGCAAAGTATTACATTTAATTAAAAGGAAGATTCAGCCTGGCCTACAAGAAGGAGAAGCCCGTAGAGGATTTCTTACAAAGTTTCTTAAACGCTCATGTTCCTCGTAGTATTGATCTTATTAAATCTATAGCTGGTTTTGAACCTCTCCCCCTCTCCCCCCAAAAATGGACTTTTTTTTTTTGCACATGAAAGAGCAGCTGGTACCCAGAGAGGCAGGAGCAGTCTTTCAATGGCCATGGGCCTTCCATCCATCTGACTGGGAGCACTTGCTCCCTGGCTTCCTTTGATCAGCCACACTGGAGAATAATACTAAATAGAAAGAGGAACAAAAGAAGCAGCTTGGAGAGGCTCCAATTTGTAATTCAAAAAAGGGGGTTGGAAATTCACATTCTTGCTTGCTGCAGCCCTGAGGGGGGAGGGTAGGGTAGGAGGGGTGGGGTGGGGGACGTGATTTCATCACCCCTGATGATTGCCTGTTGTTTTCTGGCTGCTGCCACAGTCCTAGTGCAATAAGATGGGGGGGTTGGGGGAGAGAGACTCAGACAAAATCTACCCAATCATGGTAAACAAATTCCTTCTGTTTAATTCTGGAAGGTGGGTGGTGGTCTTTTAAACTGGCCCAGCCCAGCAAAACCAAGAATGAAAATCAGACGGCTTAGGTGGGTTAATCCAACACACTCCGCAGTGGGGTCCCGGTTAATCCAAACTTGGTAAATGTACCAGAGTTAACAGCAGTTTGCAAACAACATACCTCCTGAAAGGAGTGAGAAAAAATAGAGCTGAGTGTGCTAAGCTAACCAAGCATGTGTTTCTTGCATAGCGTTTGTTCGGTGCTGGGTGAGTTGCAAGGAACAGAGGTTCCTTTTCTCCTGCTATGAAAAGAGCAACCCTGCCGACAGCTTCGGAGTTCTCATCCGAATGTCATGAAGATGTATGTAAAGCAGGAGCCTAACGTTGGACTGAGAAAGGAGAAGGAACAGAACCACGGTTTTCAACTATTGCTCTCACCGCCTGGTCATCGTATACCCATCAGATCTTGGCTTGCCTTTTGTCGGTTCCGTGACTTGCGGCCCTATCAATGGCAGTGGTCAAAAGTGTCGTGTTTGAAGGATTGATGCAACAAGTCATAATTTTGATCTGACTTGTGAGATTACTCCCAATAGCTGTGCTAAAGGTGAACTTGCCCCCCATCTGCAGTTGGTCCACAGTGGGAGAAATTTGTGAAAACTTTGCATGTATCAGCATACAGTTGGGGTGATTCTGAGCCAATTAACTGATGGGTTTTGAAATAAGAGCAGCTGCAGTTCACTGTTCCACCCCCATTCTTCTCTAAACATGACAGCACTTGTATAGTTCTGCCTTCCCAGGTGTATGCATGCACACACGTGACCCTATCTTCAGATACTTGGATTGACTTCTGGCACATAACCTCCCCTCCCCCCCAGAACAGATCAAGGAATGTATCACTACCGCATGCGTTTGATAAGTTGGGAAAAGGAACTACAGAGGCTGTCTTGATTGCATCAAGAAGACAGGTGTGAGGCAGTAAATGCAGTGTGGGCATTCACTACGGGAGACTGAAATCCCTACCAAAACAAGAAGTCATTTGGACAAGCTGCTTTGGACAAACCTGAACTATCTCAGAGTCCTGGTTTAAGGATAAGCAAGATAAAAAAAAATAATGTGAGTGGTCTCTTGGAATATGCTTTCTAGACCAAAATGCCAACAGGAGTAGAATCCAGAGGTCAATTAAAGATGTCTACTTTAGACATGAGACTGCTATACTATACAGAGGGTGGTGAGAAATACTGTATTTTTCCATCTATAAGGCGCCCCCATGTATAAGACACCCTCTATTTTGGGGGACTCATATTTAAGAAAATGGGGGGGGGGGAGATGGATTCGTGTATAAGACACCCCCTAATTTTTGACATTATTTATTAGGGGGAAAACCTAGTCTTATAGATGGAAAAATACAGTATATGGTGGTTGTTTTTTTTGTAGTGAAACT